CCAGATTCTGCGGAGCCGGAGCCACAGGTGGTGTGAGTCACGAGAGTAGGTGTTGGGAGCCAGTTCCCATCCTCTGCAAAAGCAGTACATACTCCCAACTGCTGGGCCATCTCTCCAGCTCAAAGACCAACGTTTTAAGTACTTATCAGTCTAGAGAGATGGTCAGCAGGCAAGCGTGCTTGCTGCTCCTGCAAAGAACCAGAGTTCAGTTCCTAATACCCACTTGGGGTGGCTCACAATGGACTGAGTCCAGATCTGCTGACTCCAATTCAAGCGTGCTCACACACAAATATACATACACACATTCAAATGAATAAATAATAGAAAATAAATCCTTTTTAAAGGAGCTAGGGATGACCATACGCACCTGTAACCCCAGGGCAAGGGATAGGTGGTGTGGAGACTCAGGGATGACTGAGGCTTGCTGGCCAGCCTAGATGGAAAACAGTGAGTTCCAAGTTCAGTAAAAGACTCTGTCTTGAGGGAAGGGTGGGTACAGGTGGAGAGTGATATCGGAAGATACCTCAAGTCCTACTCTGACTTTCACACAAGTACACATGGGTGCAAGCACCTACACATACAGGTGCACACACACATGTGCACACACATGCACATGCATAGCAAACATGTGCGCACACACAGAGAAATACTTTTTTTTTTTTTTATAATTTGAGAGGTTATTTTCCCCTTTCTACATTAGTCTGTTATTCTGTTTTGTACCTGCTATATGCATTAGGACAAATTAAGTTCAAAGCCAAAAATGGTTTAATTATCTAGTCTGCCTGCTAAGAGTGATCAGTTTAGGACATCTTTTTAAACATGATTCATCCTTTTCCCGTGAATGTGAGCTCTTAGAAAATGACTACTAATTAGGTCACTATCACTCAGTGCCCTGGCTGATGGAGTGAAGAGGAAGTTAGAACTGCTGCTGTGAATCATGGCAGACCCACATTCTGGCAGTGCACTTCCCTCTGCAGATCCAACAGCTCCTGCTGCATGGGAAATCTTTTCCTTCACTCTTTGTCTATTATTAGATTGTTTTTGCACACCATATTTTGTTCATGTTCTTCCCCCCTGCAGCTCCTCGAAGATCCTCTCTACCTTCCTATCCAATCAACATCATTCCCTCTCTCTCAAGACAAACAAAACCCCCACAAAACCAATATAACAAAAATTACCAAAATAAAGCAAAAAGCACACACAGAAATATGTGGAGTCTGTTTTGTGTTGGTCAACTGCTCCTGGGCATGGGGTCTACCTGGAGTGTCATTGATTTACCCAGTGTTACTCCATTGGAGAAAGCTGGTTTTCTCTTTCCTGGAAGGTGTCAATTGCTCATAGCTTCTTGGTTAGAGGTGGGACTGTGTCTTCCTCTCCCCAGTGCTGAGATTTCATCTGAACCTGTGTGGGTCTTAAGCATGTGTCATTGTCTCTGTGAGTTCACATGTGGGTCAGTCCTTTTGTGTCTGGAAGACACTATTTCCTTGGCATTACTCAGCACCTCTGGCTCTTGCAATCTTCCCACCTTTCTTCTGGATCAATCCCTGAGCCTTGAGGGGAGAGAGTCGATGAAGACATCCTACTTAGTGCAGAGTGCTCCAGAGACTCTCACTCTCCACGCACTGTCCAGTTGTAGGCCTCTGTGTTAATTGTAATGTACTGCAAGAAGACATTTCTCTGATGTGGGTAAAGCGATGCTGTAATCTGCATCCTAGCCTAATGTGGCAGCTGTTGGCCCCTAGGACAGAATGGTTCTGTGGGTCATCAAGAGTCACAAATGAATGGAGATGTCCATGAAGGAAAGGCTGAAAGGGACAGTGTAGAAAAACTGGTGTGTGTGTGTGTGTGTGTGTGTGTGTGTGTGTGTGTCTGGGTCCAAATGAAGCGGCCGAGCCCCAGGGGGATGGAGGTAGGCTGGAAGGAGGTGATGAGAGTTTTGGAACAACCCAGGCTGCCTTCTACCCTGTGGCTAAGATTTGCTTGTGCAGCATACCTAACCTGCTTATTTGTGTATTTATTCATTTATTTTTATATGCAGGTGTTTCCTTTGGGATTCTAAACTAGTCAAGGTTTGGTAAATTCAAAATTAAATCAATCTCACTGATTTTCTTTTCCCACAGCATTGAGTTTCTTTATCCTGGCAGAAAGGAGTAAACATTTTGCCCTAGTTTGAGATCTCCAGACCCAGGAGGCAGAATGGCACATTTCCAATCAAGTGATAGGTTCACTGCTGGGCTAATGGATTCTTTTGCCAGGACTGCCTTGGTACTTTTGGAAAATGAATGCATTGTTTAAAACTATCACTCACTTCTTTCTCTTCTTTATTGGCTGATCTTTTTATTTATATGTAATCTTTTCTGCATAAGGATCCCTGTGAGACATGGCACCTGATCACCCACAGAGGTTTAGAAATACAGGGCACGTCTCACATGAGATCAGCTATATAGCAGGAAGTGGGTACTGAGAAGTCACGTTGCCTGCTGGTTAAGAGCATGTGCTCTGGAAGGCAGATAAACTATGGATCTAGTCTGAGCCCCACTTTCCTCTTCTGGACAAGGGGCACAACAACTGGAAAACATGCAAATTCAACCATAGAGCACACAAAGCAAGCAGAATAGGACTTAGTCTGCACTGTGCAGCCAAGAAAGTTGAACTACATTTTGTGAATAGTGAAAAGGCTCAAGAAGAACCCTGAGTAAACAGTCTAAAGTCTTAGAATTATCTCCTATGTGAGCATTTTTTCCCTAAAGAAACTTATGATGTTTTAAAGATAACACATAATTCTCAAAGAAAAGTACACACACACACACACACACACACACACACACATGCACACACACGTGCACACATACAATATATTCACACACATCTGTGAATGATGAACAATCTATTATTTTAGGTAGTTTACTGACCTAAACTTCTAAAGGTAATAGGTAGGTGCTGAAAGTTATGCTACATGGCCAAAAATGTGCTATATTCTTTCAAAATTAGTAGAGAAACCTCTGGCTTATTTCCTCATAACTATAAAAGTGTCTCTGCCCAGACTCTTACAAGAACCCTATTAACAGTTGTCTTGAATAAAGAGCCTAGCATGTCTCAGGGGTCTGAGTGGAAGAAAATGTCCCCTAAACTAAGCAAGCTTCTGGAAATGATGTCCTTGGCCTCTTGACAGGGGTGGGAGTTCTAAAACTTAAAACTTAGGCTGATTTTCCTAAAGCCAGGGTTCTCATTTGTTTATTTGTGTGTATATGTGGGAGGTAATATGTGTGTGTGTGTGTGTGTGTGTGTGTGTGTGTGTGTGTGTAGGTATGTGTTTGAGTATGTATGGGGGTACACATGTGTGTGCATGGCTGTGGAGGCCTGGGGTTGATGTGGGGAGTTTTCTCTATTATTCTTCCTCTTTATTCATTCTGGCAGGGGTTTTCAGTCAAACCCAGGCATCATTGCCATGGCAAGTCTTGCTAGCGAGCTTGCTTTGGGGCTCCTTTGTCTATGCCTTCGGAATCATAAGCTGCCAAGTCTATCTGGCACGTATGGGGCTTTGAACTCCTATCTTCCCAGTTGTGTGGCATGTACTTTAACTGCCAAGCCATTTCTCAAGTTACTTCACCTTATTTTTTGAGACAGGGTCTCTCATTGAACTTGAAGCACATTTTTTTCGGTTAGGCTGGCCGGCTAATGACCTCAAAGACTGAAGTCACAGGCCTTTGCAGCCATGCTTGACATTAACACAGGTGCTCGAGGATCCAAACTTAGGTCCTCTTGTCTGCACAGCAGACACTATCACCCACCAAGCCATCTCCCTAGCCAGAAATAGTCTCTGTTAGGAGAACTTAGCAGACAAGCAAAGATGTTAACATCAAAATATGTGGTCAGAGTGTCTAGGATTTTGTAGCATGGAAAAAAAAATGATTAGAATCACTGAAGAAAAAGGATGAGTGGACCGGGGGACATAGCTCAGCGACCAAGTGTTTGCTGAGTGAGTATGAGACCCTGGGCACAGTGCTCAGCACTTGAGAAAAGAGATGAACACCACCATCAATGCAATGTTAGATTTCAACCAAGAAAGATTATCAGAGATTCAAATGACCTGTTTTAAACTGGACCCTTTAAAAAGCCCATTTTAAGTCTTATGCCAAGCAATGATTAATCTCAAACAGGAAAGAAAAAAAAATCTTCTTGCCTTCAAATCAGCTCGATATATTTAAAAAATGAAATGTCCTATTCAAATCCTCACTTCTCAAATTGTAAGTTGCTCCAGTATTTGAATTATTAGTCTTGTTATAGATAAGATGAAGATTCTCTGAAATTGTGGGGCAGGGAGAGAAGCAGTGTGCATCTCCACCTTTAGTGTGTAATCGGTTCACATGAACTCATGGGTGCAACTCCAAATTCAGGACGGCTCTGTCTTGAGGGCAGGTACTGGATGGAGCCTCCTTATCTGGAGAGACCTGATGGGACGAAGGAGCGTTTGCAGTCTGGACACATCACTGAGCCCAGTCCTGTCACATGGAGCCAGCTCTCACTGTTGGACATCTCATTGTTTCTATGGCTCACTAAGGAGTTATGAAATCAGGAACAAATCCAAATTTTCACAACTATTATAGATGAAAAGCAGCCAGTGTTCCATGAACTCAAATATATTGCTACAACTCTTACCATGTTCCTAATAGTAAGGGGGAGGAATTAAGACCGTTTACAATCCCCCGTGAATTTCAGGTCAATAATACACTGTTTACGAATAGAACAATTAGAAATCACAGTCACTCTTACACATTCCAAGTAGCTTACTTTGCAAAAGAGGAAAACAAACAACAACCATCTCCCTTGCCACTAACACCCTCCCCATAACATAAAACAAACAAACAAACAAATAAACACAAACATTGCGGAGCATCTTGAAACTCCCCAACCATGTGGTAAACTAGAACACTCTAGGATGCTGTATCCCTGGCTTTCTGGTGAAAGCTTGCATCCATCCCAGTGCACCAGACACTTACATCGTATCCACTGTTCCGAATTCCACGCCGAGGTCGCTCGCGTGTGACCAGAAGGTCCATCTCGGTTTCTCCCGGACTTGGGCTGTTCAGAGACTGCCGGCTTCTGTAGACAGAGTTCTTCATCTGTTGCCTGAAGGAAATCCAACAACTGTTATGATGCAGCAAATGCCCCGACAGATGGAATTCTCCACCCATCCAAACCTACAGTCAACCAGTAGAGGCTTTGGATTGGCCTCAGAATCTCAGAACTGATGGTACTCAGCCCCTGGCTGTCAGAGGAAGTAGGGGAACAAGGGACCCCACCTCCTGAGCTGCCCAAGATGTTATAACTATTTGGCTGAATTATGTGTTCTTTCATATCAAATTAGGCAACTACAATCAATTGTAGCAGTGCAACTTCATCTAAAATTCTGCTGATGGCAACGCCAGGGGTTCTCTGCTGACCCTCGAGGACAGCTAACATTGCAGAACAAACTTGCCTCTGCTGACTTTGCTGACTCAGCAGCCTCCTGTCCCTTTTCCATCTTTTAGATTTCAGGCATGGACTCCTACAATGTGTTAGTAAATGAAGCCTGTAGAGAATGGGCCACTTTTAATGCTACGATCATTGATGGATTTCTTTTCTACAATTACCATGTAGACTCTCTCCTTGGCAAAGACAATGAGGCTTAGGGGCAATTCAGCTAGGCAGCCAACCAGTCACCACTTTTTTTTAATTTTAAAAAATTATTTATTTATATTTTTACCAAGTGCCTAGTATGTACTAAGCACCTGGAAACTGAGCATCCCCTGGTACTTCTACTGTTTGTATCCCAATGGTGGAAAAAAAATTGGCAAACTAACTTCAGAATGATTAGTGCTATTACTAAAAATAAGGAGGACTGGGGAGGTGGCTTATTATTAATGTATATCCTGGTACTTGAACACAAGTCCTCATATTTGTACCAGGATACACATTAATAATAATAATCATGATGATGATGATGATAATAAATGTGGTGACGTACACTTGTAATCCTATCACTGGTGAGGCAGAGACAGGAGGACCCCTGGGGTTCACTGGCTGGCCAGATTAGCCTACTTGACAAGTTCCAGGTTGAGACACTTTGTCTCAACAAATGGTGGGTGGATACTGAAGGATGATATCCAAGGGAGTGCACATACACACACACACACACACACACACACACAAATAAGAAGCTCAAAGGAGGCCTTCTTCTTCAAGGAAGTGACTCTTTAGCTGAGTTCTAAATAGTCCCTGAAGTGAGCACAAAGCTCTTCAGGCTCAGGTAGCAGTAGCTTGTTCCAAGGTGTCAGCTCAGCTACTTCTCAAAGATTCATACATTTGCTACCATCTTGTTTCAGCTTGTCTTTGGGGGAATCTATCCATAGAACCCACAGAAAGCAGCCACATGAAGAGAGGGCCATCATGCTTTTTTCCTCCCACAAGCAGCAACTTTTGTCAGCAGGAGTGAGGATCATTAAGTCTGGGGATTCTGTGGAATGACAAAGGGCTTAGAAGTCCCTTTCACCCAACAGCAAAATAATGCATGCCTCCAGACCATCTCCAGAGAGCTCCTAAGCACTTCCTATTATATGTTTCAGTTCAAGGATTCTAGATATTCATGTCTGGGGGTAACAACCACACACACACACACACACACACACACACACACAATTTCATGAGCACAATAAGTTGCTTACGGCATTTAGTCACACACAATCCAGCAAGAACTTCAAGGCAAGGCTCCACCCTATTACTTAGCCATGAATACAACAGAAGCTCTTAGATCTCCATTACCACCAGAAACCACACTGATTTTAGGAGAAGCTGTTCTTTTTGTCTAGTCCCTTGATAACATGTGGTGATATTTTGTTTATGTTCTAACATAAACTTGCCTGAAGATCAGAGTGTAAAGCTAGCAACACTGGCTATCCATAGAATCCTGGAAGTGGTGGTACACACCTTTAACCCCAGCTTTCAGGAGACAGAAGCAGACAGATCTGTTAGTTCAAGTCCAGTCTGAGCTACATGAAATTAATCCAGTTTAAAAGAGAAACAGAGCTCACACAAAGGTGATCCCAAAACTTGGGACCCCATGCCTTTAATCCTAGCACTAGAGAGGGACATAAGGCAGGAGGAGACAGGAGCTCAGGGCAGTTGGGAGCAGTCTGAGGTTCAGTGGATCATCCCTTGGGTCTGAGAATTGGTAGAGGTGACAACTCTCTAGTGGCTGGCTGCTTTGTTTCTCTGATCTTCAGCTTTAACCCCAATATCTGTCTCTGGATTTTTATTATTAATACCAACTAGAATTTGTGATACACTTACCCCTTGGTAAGTACAGCATGGTGCTTCTTGGGGCTACCTTTCCTGCAGAAGTGGGTACTGACTCATATTGGACCAGTACAGAGTCACATCACTACATCCATGTGATTGGTCAGGAGGGTGGTGGGCACATGACTTAAGCTGGACCCAGTGAGACTAAATATTGGGGTAAAGCCATGACAACTAGGAAAAAGGGACTGTTGTAGATTTGAGGAACACAAACCTGGGGTTTCTGACAACCTAGGGTTTGTTTTTTCCATCATGAGGTTTTAGCCTGCCTTCAAGAGAGGCTGGGAAAGAAAAAACAAAATCAGTATGGTTCCCTTGATCTAGCCAGACTAAATTGTTGGCCTTGAACTAATACAGTTTGTGCTGGACTTCAATTGTTAGCAATCAAAAGATCCTGGCTAATATGGCAGCTTATAACCTCACATTATAAACCATACCCTCCAGTTGTCTGCAACTAGAGGCTTCCTTTAGGAAAGGGGCCTGGGCACAGCAGGCTGGCAAGGCTGAATATGTTTAGAGTGATCCATATCTTAAAGCAGATCCCAAAGAATTTGCATCCTTGACTTAATTACAACTATGCTTTCAGAAAAAAAGCACACTTTTTAGCTACCCAGCCACTGTCAATTAGCCCATTAAGAAAAGATTTACTAATAAGAGCAGTGGCAGAATAAGCAGGCAGATTGGCAATCAACAGTAGGTTATTTCATAAGTATTAGACATACTAGTGAGGAACATGAATATATTAAAAGCTTAGACACTGGAACACCCACCAGCTTGTTCTGCTTTCAGAGAAAACACTGCATTATGATGGCTAACATTCTTTTTTTTTTTTTTTTTTTTTTTTTTTTTTTTTTAACAGTGCTGGGGATTGAACCCAGGGCCTTGCATATACTAGGCAAGTGCTACCCTATGGTTGAGCTACTTCCTTAGATTGCTATGCACAATGTTTCAATGACCAGACTTCTAGGGTGGGCATATGCCTGGTGTACGACTGTCTACTTGGTGATAACTTAGGCTGTCCTGTAAAGAGATGCTTATTTTAATCAATTGATTCTACTAGGCACACTTGTTTTTACTTTGCTATAATTTATAACATGTCAATTTGAGGTTTTTTTTCCCTCCTCTGACAATATTGCTGGGTGGGTTATAATGTGTTTTACTTGAGATATTTTAACTTTCAATAGAATTTAAGAAAGCAGTTTCAAACCATATTCCATGGAACCCTGGGGTTCTGTAGAGAGAGTCTAAGCCGCTGAAGGGAGTGGGCTGTAGTGCTGTCAGAGCAACTCTGAATAGATTACTGACGAGGTTACTGACTTGTGCTAGCCCCATAGATGACGATCTATGAGGATTTGAATGCAAATGGTTTCTTTTCAAGGTGGCTCTGGAAACTACCAGCCAGGGGGAGGTGGATGCATGATGAAGAAAGGATGCATGGAAGTCAACAGAGGTACAATAAGATTGATTCATATTTAGGATGTCTGGGGCTCACTCACTGGAAATAATATGGGGGATGTGTTCTCATATTATTGTTCGATGGCAAGAGATACCTACCATTGGGAAGATAGTTTACTACACCCACATAACTTAAAGATCTAGGCCATGAGGGACAGAAGGGTGGGGTACACAGTGACCAGGTAGATCAGAAGGCAGAGGAGAGAGGAGGAAGTGTAAACAAAAGCCTTCAAGTTATGGCTTCTGGGAGATGCAATGGACAAGGCAGGGGAAGCAGGTGTGGGAAGAGCTGGTTTGGACAATTAACAGGTGACCCCAGCCTGTGACAACAGATAAACAACCCACAGTCATCTGGAGCTAAACCCCTGAGCCACAGCTCTAAGTCCCTTCCTTTTCTGTTAGGTTTCTCTGCCATCCCATCTCTTTCCATCCTACCTCTCATGCCTCTCCCCAGCTTATCTAGCTCATGGCTCTCCTTTTTCCTTGAGTAGTGAACACTCAAATGGGTTTTCAAACCATTCTTAGTGCTATAGAGACAATGAATCATTTCCTCAATGGACACCCGCTGAGTGATAAGTTCCAGCACACAGCAGTAACAGTTCATCAGGGAACCTTAAACGCAGCTGACCTGAACTTATGTTGAAGAGTCTAGACACAGCTCCTACGGAAAAGCTCTGCTTAAAAAAACAAAATCACTGAAAGTGTTGTCTGTCCAGTGACTTTCAAGCCAAGAAATCTAAGAACAGCTTCCACCCTAGTCTACCAGAGAACCCCAAAGCAGTCCCCAAGAGCAATGTGCTGTCAAACCCGTATCTTTTCTTTCCCTCCTCCTACAGCCATTACCATGGTGACAAGTGCATTGTGAACCCCGCCACGCTGTGATTTTTATGTCCTCAGTTTGTCATACCAGCCAACCAAGCCTGGCAAATGAAGCCCTGGCTTAGAATCCCCCCCCCCCTTTTTTCTTTAGTAAAATACATTATGTTGGCTCAGTTTATTCCCAGTTCCCAACCTTGTTTTGTTGCTTTTACCTAATTCTGATGAATGGTATTGTTTTTAACATTTGGTTTTCATTTTTAAAGCAAATATCCACTCAGGCCAGGGTCTACCCTGCTCTTTGTGGTGTGTGGAGCATGTCCCTGCAGTGGCTTCATGGTGGCTGCAGTTTCAGCGTGCTCAAAGCCAGGGGGGCGTCAAGGAGAATGCACTCCGGGAAGAGGTGGTCTCGAATTATGGAAGTGCTGCAGGCAGGCAGGAAAGGAAGAGAGGTGGACATGGTAAGCTTTGCTCTCCTTGGCGTCTTGGCCCACTGTGGGAGGTCGCCGCCTGGTCAGCCACAGAGCTTGGAGGCAGCTGCTGTCACGCTTGGAAGGTTTTCCTTCTCTAAAATTCATGTCAAAGTTTGGTTGCTCCTGGAAGCTTCATTCCTACTGGCTAACTTCCACAGTGCTGGAAGGTTCTATAGACATTGGAGGCTAGGGTGATCATCAGTCATACTCTGCTGTGAACACTGGGAGCTACAATAATAACTGACCTGTCAAGACATGTGCGCCCGTGGCAAGAATATTAGGAGAGGAATCGAGCATATTTTTATTGGATTTAAAACCCACTACATAAGATGGGCCCCTCCCAAAAGCCTATGACTGCCTAGTCCTAGCTTCTAGGGGGAGATGGACAGATTTATTAATTAATCGTAATTAACAAATAGTCTCATTTATTTTTATTTAATGTGTATGAGTGTTCTATCTGTGTGTATATGTGCCACATACATGCCTGGTGCCCACAGAGGCCAGAGGGCATTAGAACCCCTGAATCTGGAGTTACAGATGAAAGTGAACGGCTGTGTGAGTGCTATGAGCCAGATCCAGGTCCCCTGAAAGAGCAGCAAATGCTCTCAACTACTAAGCCACCTGTCCATCCCGGATCTACGAGTTCTGATTTTTTATACTCACAGATTAGTACATCACTCAACCCTCATCAGGGAAGCTTCTCTTTTAAAACGACTAGCAACCAGTCAACATGCAGAGAACAAGAGACTGTGGAGTGCTCATCTCTAAACACATCTACTCCACACCAAGCTCCCTCATTGAGTAAGAGGAAGTGGAAGGATTATAAGAGCCTGAGGTAGCAGATATCTGTAGCAAAACAGTGCTTGCTAGACATGACAGTGCAGTAACACTATGAACTCATAGATACGGTGACTGCATGCTTGTCCTAGATGAAGCCAGCCAAAATCCCAGAATGGATGGGAGAGAGGCTCATGAAGTTTCACCCGTAGCTAATGGGAGAGGGAGAGTCACTGCTCTTCAGGGATGCAGGCTATTCACATTCTCATAGATGGTTCCATACCCATACATATACAGGTTGCACTAAATGGACTCAGAAGACACTATATTTGAAAAAGATGAAAAGAAAAAGAGAGCACAGGAAGTTCAGAGGGAACAATGGGGGGGATGGGGATGAATTGGAGGAAAAGGAATAGGTAGTGGTTTGGATCCAATTATACTATATATTCATGGATGAATAAGAAATAGAATAATTTGAACTTACTGCTGTTTTATCAGTGTTAGAAGGTAGAACCTTTGACTAGTGATACAGTCACAGGGCACATCAATGATGTGGTGGTTTGAATGAGAATGGCCCTTATGAGCTCATATATTTGACTGTTTGGTAGGTCCCCAGTTGGTGGAACTGTTGGCGAGGGAAGGATGAGGGGGTGTGGCCTTGTTGGAGTGGGTGTGGCCTTATTGGAGGAGGTGAGTCACTAGGAGCAGAATTTGAGGTTTCGAAGGCCCATGCTGAGCCCAGACTCTCTCTTTCTGCCTGCTGCCTACAGATCCAGGCTACTGCTCTAGCACCATGCCAGTTGGCCTCCTGCTACAAAGATCATGGACTAAAACTGTAAGCAAGTCCCCAACTAAAAGCTTTCGTTTGTAAGTGCTTCCCTGGTCACGGTGTCTCTTCCCAGCAACAGAATAGCGGCAAAAGCAAATGGCCCTATAAAAGGGTGAGTTTAGCCCTCTTGCTCTTTGCTCTATCATAGGGGGATATTCACTTTGTCTCCTTCTGTGTCACTGACCACACCCATTGGGGGTGGAGCCAGGGGTGGAAGTGACCTGGGGAACTAGGTCGGAGGAGGCAAGAGAGAGCACTCTCTTGCCAGCCGCACAGGGACAGGAGGACATCCAAAGGAATTCTTGGAAGCAGGAACCTGTTGGTGTTCACCTGTCTATGTTGTGAGTTATTTCTCCTTAAGTAAACATCTGTTCGGCCTAATTGTTTATCCTGATCCTTATTGATCCTTATTAAACCCTCCACCATGTGCTAATACAGCAAGACCACCTTTGCCAGATTCTGGTGCCTTAGTCTTGGACCTCCCAGCCAGCAGAATGGTTAGAAAATGAACTTCTACCAATTATAAATTGCCTGATCTCAGTATTTTGTTACAGAACAGATGGAGAGAAAGCAATTCAAACCACTTGCCTAGCTCTACCTAGTGGGCCAGGCCCCAGTAGAGCTTCAGCAGCCCCACACTTCAAGCGCCCCTCAGGCTTGTGGTCACACTTTTCAGGCGTTTCTCCTTTTCTTTCATTGGACTGGGCTGTCTCGTCCAAAATAAAGCACAGAAGGAATGAGCGAGAAGAAGCCCACATGACCACGCGATCATACATCATCTTGGCTGCTGTCTGATCCTCTACAGGTGACAACGGGTCGACTAACTAAATATATCTATGAATGAATGAGACACACTAGCATGGAGCCCTGAGCCACAGTGTGACAGGCACCCACTAAAGCTGAATGAAAGAGCGAGGCATGAAATTTGCCTTCCTGTGCAAAGAACCACTAGCGTAAATGAACAATGCAATGCCCCTTGATCTGGAAGTTGAGTAACTAGGTAGGTGATAATTATTTCTCACGCAGCTCTGAAAGAGCTACTGGCTTGAAAATATCATTAAGCTAAAGGACAATTGGGGTTGTTTGCCCCAGAATTTTTTTAATAGCTTCCATTTGACTCTCTTCTAGACTCATTATTGAGTACATGCTTGTGGGGCCCAGATCAAAAGCCTGCAAAGATCAAAGTCCCCAGGCAATATCAAGGGAGCATGGGTATAATGTCCAAGATGTCCTCTGCCCTCGCCCCGCCTGTGACATGGGGACATAAAGCACACCATCTACCTGTTTTTAGACTCTGCAAAGGGGGCACACGCTTCTGGGTCTGGGTCTAGAACATGCTCCATTTCCTTTGGGGCTTTCTCATACATCTTCTTCCTTTCCGTCAGGCCCTTGCTTGTTTCCACTGGGGGGAAGTCATAATACCCCTTCCTCTTAGCTTTCAGGCGCAGTTTGTTCCGGTAGTGCTCAATGTCTGATTTCTGTTTCAGAGCCTTGTTCACCTTGGAGGAGAGAGAGAGAAACAAGGGAGTCTCAGGTCCACACCTGACTCAGCATGGCAACAGACAACAGAATTTTCTACAAGGTCAGCTGACCAAAAAGACCAGTGGTGACGCTTGTCTGGGAATTGTGATGTGATAGTAAGAGCCTCTCGTCTATCACCCTCATATTTTAAATGGATCTGGCACTCACATACATCCTTGCTTCCCACATCTGTCCTGTTGAAGTCTGATGTCTGACTGAATACCCTTAGCCAAGAGCCTTTACTGTTTTGGTCCCTATGTTGCCTATGCTGTGTGGTTCCTCAGTGTGCCTGACAAGTCCTTGGTGTCCTGAGTCCAGCTCTAGTCCCGAGTAACCTTATGGCTTCCTCTGTCCACTTAGCTGGAGCTCAATGGATGAGTCTCAGTGTGGATTGGGATGGATGGTCTGGGAAAGTAGAACAAATGTTCCACTCCAGGGGGTTTTCCATACAATCTGTTTGCCCAGGAGAGGTATTTCTGTAAACCCATGACTGTTTTTTTCTTGAGAGAGAGAGAGAGAGCGTGCATGCTATAAAAGTTTCAGTGGATGAATGTCCTATGCTTTCTTTAAAATAACTTTTAAAAGAATTCCCTGCAATTCATAAAGGAGAAACTTATGGTTTTGAGTTATGCTTTCCTCCCTTTCCATGAAAATCAGCCATCCCTAAGGGAAGGGAGAAGAGTGGCATTGCATCCTGTGACAAGCTCTGGGAAACAGCAAATTAGAGAGCGGTGCCAGCAAGTCCCATTCCTTCAACTGCCCAAAGGAGTATGGCTCCATTTCTGAATGAGGGTACTCATGTGCTCTCTTCACGTGACAGGGAGCTGGGCCTGGAGGAAAGGGATCTGTCCTAATTTTGGAGTCTGTTTATATGATGTTCGTATCATTATGCTGGGACGAAGAGACCCAGGTATGGTGGCAATAATGAGAGCCTTAGCTAGGCAAACAGCCCTAATCAAAGGCAGTTAACGGTGTATTAGAGCCAACTCCAGAGATGTGTGTGTGTGTATGGGAAGGGATCACAGAACTGTGCCTCAGGAAAGATTACAGAGCTGAGGGATAGAAAGGACACATTGTGACCAATTAATTCTTCTTCATTGATGAGTGAACAATAATAAAAACAAAATATTAGAAATGATGATAAAGTGTTTGCTTATGTGTTTGTCATTGTGCTAAGTGCTTTATGTTTAGCAGCCCATTCTGTGGACAGAGGTGCTGAGGCACGAAGTATTTTACTCACTTACCTAAGTCACAGAGACAGTGGGTGGACAAGCTGGCACTCCAACTCTGGCAAGACAGATTTCGAGGCCATACGTTCTAAGTACAACACTATTTCTCATAATGGGCTTGAGTGTAAGTTAGGAGAGGAAGGAGGCAGAGACAGGAGTCAGGGCAACTGAACTCCAGCCATCGACTGACCTTGAGCCAGCACCTCACCCTTCCAGCTCTAGTTTCTTTGACTAAAAATAGAAGTCCTGCTGATGTGTACATCGGAAGCTCGGCCCGTCTCAGTGTAGGGCCAGCTCAGTCTTCCTGCTCAGAAAAGATTCCTTCCTGCACCACACATACAGGTGCACACAACACTGTCACAAGTGTCCTGGCTGTGGGGAGGGGAAGAAGCCCTAGTGAGCACTAGCAACACTCAGCAGGTCCCTTGGGGCATGATGAGAAAGAGGCTTCAGACTTTGCAAATCGCCCACCTGCTTCAAGTGACAACAGCAGGGTAGGCATGAAAGGAACGATCAACCCAGCACTTGAACACCAGAGAAAACTGTGCGTGCACACATGTGTGCATACATGTACAATGTAAATATGCACAAACATGTGCATGTTTGTGAAGACTCATAAACACTTTTTTAGCTCATGGATAATCCCACTGCCAAAGGAAGATAGAGGGATGGCATTTTCAACCCAATTTCCTGTTCTTTGTCTGAGATAACTCTCTTCTCTCTTACCTACTGATCAATCATCTGTTATGGATCATCTATCATCCTTATCTAATTTTCTTTGATAAAATCCCTCATACAGTGACAGCTGCTTTAAAAATCGTATCACAGACTCAACTAGACTGGTTGACTGATGTTGAGTCCTGGGATCCACCTGTGTCTGCGCCCCAGTACTACAATCACAGATGCACACTGCTGTGCCCCACTTTTCCATGGATGCTGATCCCAGTTTTTCATGGCAAGCACTTTACCACTTTACCAATTCAGCCAGCTCCCCAGGAAAGTTGATTGACATTGACACCACCTAGAAAGCAACCACAGGGCTATTTCAAGCTCGCTAACAGAAATCAATGTCGTTTCAGAGTCTCTAGTGGCCAGCTCCCTGCCCAAATGACAGTGTGTTCTCCTCTCCCCTCTCAGTTTCCCTCTCTCCCATCACTCAAACAACTTGGATCCTAATGGGAGCTGAACGTACCAGAGTGCAGCGTAGAAAGGCTGCAGACTATACTTAGGAGGGGTTGGGGGAAGGAGGCCTTCTGGCATCTGTTTGTCTAATCACGGGTTTTAAAGCTTTGTATTTCACATCACCGAGGCCTGGTGCATGCAGAGACAGAAATGGCTTCCAGGGCCTGAGGCCACTGGACACAAGCTGCACTACACGTGCTGAGCAGTCCCCATGGTCCAGCTGGACTCTCTACGCAGGTCATGGGTGCTTACCTCACCATTGAGTGCCACTGAGGACTCCTGGCCCCTGTCTGAGGCAGGGTGCACTACGGGCAGGGCGGATGGTTTGATAGCGATGAGCTGCACGGATCCTGAGGATGTGTCAAAGGGATCTGCTGCTGCCTTGCCAGCACTGTCAAAGAGACCCACTCCCTCCTCTTCATCACTTGCTGTCCCTAAAGCCAGGTGAAACACATGGGTTTGGGAATTGCAGGATTGAAATGCAGGCATCTCAAAATGAAGAGACAACAGTGGGTGGCTCAGCCCATTGCTTACCCTTAAATTTAAGGTCTGTACTATTTATCCAGTTAGGAAAGAATTTTAAAGGTTGCACTTAAACAGAAGAAAAAAAAATTCTTTCAAAATGGAGACAGAACACATCAATAAAAAGTAAATTTGTTTCTTGTGTTCATAGAAATGAGAAAAGTGAATTTGGCCAAACTCTGCATCTATCCTTCAATCTGGCCACTGCTACAATAACAACCTTCAGTCTGGTCTCTGCTGACAAAGCTATCACATTTTGCACAACGTTAAGCTACACGTTTCCCAAATCAATTAGCCGCACACATTGCTCAGTTACTCTTATTTTTTTCTGAAGGCTGTTTCTCAAAACAACTTAGCTTCTTCATTCTTGTACTTGTCTATAACAAAAGAAAGCTATGAAATAACTACCATAGCTCATAGCCACAGACAACTCCTCTAATTACATGGACTCATTGCCTCCTACGCACTGGTAAATTAATTCTCCCATCTGACAAACCATTCTGCTGTGACGGCTGCAAGACACAAGTTGGCCTCGTGCTTCCATAACTAAGCTGACAGAAGTTGTTTCAAGCCCAGCCATATCTAGCTGATTTACTTGTTTTTGAAACACATTCTCATGAAGTAGGTATAAGAATGACAGCAAGATAAATTAGGCCTGTTTAAGCAACTGGACTAGTAGGCAGTATGGAAGCAAAATAGGTATTACATAAAACATGACTCTATCTGTGTTCATCTTTCCTCATACCTGCTCAAGAGACTTGAGATGGTATTTAAATTATTGAGAGATACAGCATGTCAATTATAATCACAGAAGATCTGTCAAATTAAACCAAGGAAGTAGTTATTTTTATAACGTAGCTAAAACGACTCATAGACTAACAATGGGTCATAATTGGACATTTAAAAAAAATCATGGATTGGTTTGCAAATACCAGGCCACCAAGCAGCCAATGACAGAAGGAAATTTCTATCAGAAGTGTCACTAGATGTGTATGTATTTTTAGAGGGTAGTTTTACTATGTAATATATGCTTGGTCACCTTCATCATTCCCTTCCTGGTCAATTTCTGCAAAGGACTTCCATAACAGCAGGTTTCCAAGATGTTCCCATTCTTACTATCTGATAGTAATATCTACAGTGAGAGCATCAACTTTTGTAACCAAAAGAGAAACGATGGTTACATTAACAACAGTGCATTGTGTCCAAGCATTTGTTAGAAAACAGCATGATGGCTTTCACCTAGTCTTCTCTTGGGTCACTTATTCCAGAAAAAAAACATTGACCATGTTCTGAGGGTATTCAAGTAGCCCTATATGGTGGCCTCCCACTGGCAGACACATGAGTGAGCCATCTTTTTGTCACTATAGCCCCAGACCCCAGGTCGGAACAACTTTGCCAATCTGCTAGTAAGTTTCTGACTCACAGACATTATGAAAAATGATAATGTAGTCTGTCATTTTAGGTCTATAGGTTATGGATTACTCAAAATAGCTTCAAGAAATCCCTGAAACTGACCAGATTCACTAGGCTTCTCTCTCCCGAGAATAAATAATAAAAGACTGGAGTGTCTCTCTCATACAAGCCAAGCTTCGAAGGAGACTGGAAGACCGGACCAGCTGCCTGGAAGAAGCGGAAACCGACTGAAAGTTTGAGTCACTTGGAAGGGTCAGGTTGTCTCCAATCTGTTTGAGCTGCCTACAGTGTGCAGGGTGCTGTAGTGGGCTTTGGTGCTGCAGCTCTCTGAGAGTCACTTCTGCTTCTGGAAGTAACCCCTCACCCACATTCCTTTAAGTAACCTCCTCCTAGATATTATATTGCATTTGGCTTAGAAGGTCAAGTACCTGCCCTTGTTTTTATTTATTTATTTATTTATTGAGACAGGGATCCGTGAACTCATGGCAATCTTCCTGCCTCAGCTTCTTGAGTCTGGGGTTGCAGACATGAGTCACCACACCTGCCATGAAAGTTGTTTTAGTTTGTTTTGATTCTTTCAAACTCCTACCTGTTACACCCAACCTTCTCACTTATATTTAAACATCTTCATGAAACTGGCTCTAAAATTATCTTGCAGCTAGGCTAATTAATGAGGCCATGGGAGCAAATAGACGTATGTAGCTATTTTGCTGGCAGAACGGTGTGTTTCCTTTTCAAGTTTGTATCTTCACCAGAGGACAAGAGTAGAAGCCATGGATGCAATAAGCCTGGCACGTCTAGTCTGTACATTAACATTTATTAATCAATAAATGTTACCCTGGCTCTGGTTGGAACTCAGCCACTAGGCAGCAGTATCTGAATATTCCACAAGGGCCATATTGGCATACAAAGTGCTTAGTTCTTTTTGTAGCCTGGCCAGGTGAAGAACGATGCACTTCTGTTTTCTCCAGTTTCACTCAGTGCTGGTTTCTTCCTTCCATTGTTCCATCTCCAGATCCAATCAAATATATATTATATTATATTATATTATATTATATTATATTGTAAGAGTTTTCTTGTTTAACTCTTTAGGAGTGAAATGAAACATTAAAGCATCCCAGGAGAATGAGTCATACGGCTAAATTAATTAAGTAGGGGGTACTGAAGGTTGAACCTAGGGTAATGCAAGCATTCTGCCACTGTGGTGTTTAATTTGGAAGCAGGGTCTCACTTAGTTGTACAGGTCAGCCTCAAACTTTTGATCCTTCTGCCTCAAGCTGAATTACAGCTGGATACAACAACACGCCTAGCAAGGCTGACTTGTTTTTTATTATAATACTTTTATTTATTTTTTTTATTTTTTAACAACAGACCTGTTAGTTAAATTTTCAGTATCTGGACTCACAAGTACAAAATAAACCCCTAGAACTTGTTAAGGGGTTAAGGGAAGGAAGTTATGGGGAACCTCCAAGATGAGCAGCATTTTGGAGATCTCTTGGTTTGTTGGACTTGGCCTTGGAAATCATGTAATTTCACCCAAGAATGAGAAAAAGCTTCAGGCAAGCATCACTTTGTTCTAAAAAGAGCCCCCCCCCATCTGCACCCCTCTTTAGGAATATGGGGTTGAGGGAATGAGGCTGAGTCAGGGAGGAGGACACAGAAATCACTCAACAGTTCACAGCGGTCTCCAGGCCTCATGAGGCAGAATAGAGAGGCCCGGGCGAGCACAGTGTGTACATGCTTGCTTATGTGGGAGGGGTTGGAGGGTACGTGGTTGGGAGGCTCCTCACCATTTCTCTTCCTGGTCTCCTCCTTTGTCACTTTCTGCTGTGTCATTCCATTCTGGGGTGAGTGCCTCCCTGAGCTGGGCTTTCCTGATTCGTTGCTGATGGCAGAGCCATTCTCACTGGGCGACCTGCTGGAGGTAACCATAGCAACAGGGTAGACAGTAAGTTTCGACAAGAACAGCCTCCTCTCAAGGTTATTTTATTTGCACAGTTTGTGTCTGCAGCCTTTCATTCCAGTTTCTGTGGCAAAGAAGAAACGATACAAGAGACAAAAGAAACAAAAGCCACCCACACTCATCCACACCTGCTCACAGGTGAGGTGGCTGCTTGTTCTGAAGTGCATTCACTGTTCTAGGCTCTCGAGACAGTTCAATGAGGCTGGTCCTGGGTCCTGTCTCCGTTTCATTAATCCCTCACCTATGTTGGTGACTGCAGAGGTAGTAGTGACATGTGTAATATGCCCTCCCTTCACACAGCTCTTTGTGTGCTCAGTGTTTGAGTCACATGAGCATCTTGGGTCACTCGTAGAACACTTGCTACAGAGAAGGCCTACATGACTACCGATGAAGTCTTCCCATTATGGGATTTTCACTGTCAGCTACCCACATTTGCACACTCTTGACTAGTTACTACTTGTATTTTGAGGCACTTATTTGAGATGCACATGCCTCCATAAAAGGCTTTTGTTGCCTTTTTCTATGCAGAGCATCATGCCAGATAAATGTCTATTGACATCTGAGGACAAACTGGGGGGTGCCTGGCACATATGCCAGGGACTATGTTGCGTGCCTCCAAATCTGGTTGCTGGTCGTTACAATGATCCCTGATTTGGAGATGGTCCACCTTGATCAGAAAGCGAGCAAAGTGAAAGTCATGGAGGCCAAGAGTGGCTCCTAGGGCTAAGTAAGGCAGTGATAAGTCACCCTCACCCCAGAGCATCCTCATTTCAATGTCTCAGACAGCAACCTCAGATGGGAGCAAGTCACAGGGCCTCCATCCTTCTTCAGGACTGAATTCCCACCTCCAGAACTCTATGGGGAATGGCCTCTCGAGACTTTGCTGCCTTTGGAGGTGTGTGCTCTCCCTCAAGCCTCATAGCCCACCTAGGGATAAACAATCAAAAATGCTGACCTCCCAGTGTGGAAGATGATCAGGGAACAAATACCTAGGGATCTTTTGCTCTTCTACCATCAGTTGTCTACATTTAGAAAATACAGTCAGTTAATGCCTGCAGTGGGAAAACTGGCTGGAATCAATGCCCTTGCTCACTGGGGGGGGGGGGGGGAAGCTGTATATTCCAGCAATCTTCTTCCTTCTCCTCTTCCTCTTCTACCACCCGTGATTAGAATGCTCAGATCTGTGCACCCAGGCACCTGTGCTGGCTACTCTTACGTCAACTCGATACACAAACTAGTTATCTGAAAGAAGGGAACCTCAACTGAGAAAAAAAGCTTCCATAAGATCCAGCCGTAGGGCATTTTCTTAATTAGTGATTGATGGGGGATGGTCCAGCCCATTGTGGGTGGTGCCATGCCTGGACTGGTGGTCCTGGGTTCTATAAGAAAGCAAGCCAGCAAGTAGACCCTTTCCATGGCCTCTTTATCAACTCCTGCCTCTAGGCTCCTGCCCTGTTTGTGCTCCCTTACTGACTTCCTTCAGTGATGAACAGCAGTGTAGAAGTATAAGCTAAATAAACCCTTTCCCCCCAACTTGCTTTTTGGTCATACTGTTTTGTCAAAGCCTCACTATGACAGAACTCTACAAGTTACCAGGAATAAAGATTAGGATTCTGGGATGAGGCAGTACCTGCCAACTGTGTTCTGTAGCACACAAGAACTAATCTTCTGCACATGGGGCTTGGGAAATGTTCACGGCATTCCTTCTTTGGATGCCTCCAACTGTGGTAGCACACCAGAGGCTCTGATCAATTCTTCAGGGTTCATTTTGTTTCACTTAATACAGCATCTTCTAATTTATGTGGCTGAAAATTTGTTTTTGACATTTTGCTACATTAGTACTACAAAGACTATAGGTGGGAAATATGGATCAGGCATTAAGTGATTGAATGTATACTTATATATTGTAACATACATAATATTTTTCCAACAGCTAATCAACCTCTGAGGACACACACACACACACACACACACACACACACACACACACACAGAGAGAGAGAGAGAGAGACAGAGACAGAGACAAGACAGAGAGACAGAGATGAGACAGAGAGACAGAGACGAGACAGAGAGAAGACATACACCCTTGAATTGTTTTCAGAATCTGAGCACTCACAGTACCTACTCTCCAGATGGCTATACTGGATAAAAAGATTTTCATTTACCTCTAGGGAAGGGGTGGGGGGTGATTTGTAATCTATTTTACATTTGTAAGCTGCTTAGTGATTTTTGTAACATTTCAGTTCCCTTTCCCCATTTGATCCTGAAAGAACCTTCTGATGTTTCCCCTCACTCTGAGGAAAGGTGTCAGCGAGTACATTTCTGTGAAGAAAAAATCCAATCTGCTTTAGTCTTTGTTTCTGTCTATACCTCTCTTTACAGTGAACATCCAACTCCAAACTCCTGGTGTGTATATAGTGTATGTGTGCATATAACACTAACAAAAGTACATTTGAAAGCAAATACATGTCAGCTCTGAGACTGAGATTTAAGGTTACAGAACTCAACGGTCCCTTTTCTGGAACTTCGGGTAGATGTGCAACTTGTGTGGTGCCTAGCCAATTCCTAAACAGTATGACTTGTGTTAATGCAAGAGTCCTCCTTTTCCTATGGCTGTTCCTATGAGGTTGACTATTCTTCATCCTTGACCTGGCACATTCATCCTGGTCATAGACAAACAAAACAGCATCACCAAGTCCCTAGCCAGGAGGAAGGGGAGGAAGTCCAGCAGTGACTGAATGCTCAGACTTCTGTTTTTAAAGACTCTTTAAAAATTTGAAAATATCAATAAGTATTAAATCATTGATTTTTACTTGCAAAAATTGGGGGCTCTCCAGCAAACCCCTTCTGAGAGGACCCACAGTCAGTCCATAGGAAGCCAGAACGAGGAAACTGATGTGGCAAGATGGGGAAATCCATAATGGGTTTGCTCTTAGGTTTGGTACTTACAATGGGGCTCGGGAGAAGGTTCAGTTGCCAAAAAACAACGAGAACACGAGTTTGCCGGTACATATTTGTAACCCTAGTGCAGGGGCAGAGACTTGAGCATCCCTAGGGTTTGGTGGCCAACTGATCTACTCCACTGGTGTGCTTTGGGTTCAGTGGCAAAAATAAAAAGGAAAAGAGCCATAGAGGAACACAGAAAGACATCTGACCTTGAACTTTAGCCTCCACATGAATGTGGACACATGCACACACTCAAACACACATACACTATACATGGACACACAATCTTCACAAATGATCTTAGACTTTCACTATCAGACATGTATAAACAGAGATGAGGTTCATGGGACAGCCTAGGCAATGCTGTAGCCAGCCCGTAGTAAAATTACATTTTTATGATGCAATAATGAAGCAGGTGTAGCAACCATGCCACAGTGTAGAAATTGCTCCCCTTTTCTCCATTTCATAAGCTAATATTTCTTAATAAAAATGGGAATACATAATTGAACTTAATTAGCAAGAGGTGACTCCTTGCTACCTGGAGAAGTGCTTGTTTTCAAACAAATTTCAAAAATCAATCCCTAAGGATTTAAAGTACTCAATTTGAATAAGTAAGAAAGAATTTTTATTCTTCCCAGAAGTGCTACATCAATATCGTAATTTAGTAATTCTTCCTTTTCAGTTTCTTGTAAATGGGTGATAAGTTGTCAGCATGACTTTATTGTGCTTGGCAAGGATCAGCACGAGAATAATGCTGTAAGTCACACAAAGGATGAGTTCTCTAGAGAAGCCATCTGTCTGCATGTGTTGTGACTCTGTTCTACCCGTGCTCCTAAGCTGGGTGGGTCACTGCAGTAAATGGTGCTAACTCTGTCCACACCTCCATGCAATCAGACTTTGTAACATCTTCTATAGTGACTCTGAACTTGGTCACATGACTTGGTTGGCCAACAGGAAGGAAGGCAACATGTCAGAAGCAGAGACCTGAGAAATATCTGTGTTTGGGGCTATTTTTCTAGCTACCTTGGACCCTTGGAACCTCCTTGTGAAAAGCCTGCTGGAACATGAGCTCATGTGGAGCGAGGATTTGTATCCTCGGCCACCCCAGACAATGCTGTCGGCAACAAGGTGGCCTTGTCAACTCAATTTCTATCACCTGATTGGTGTTCTGGTAATTCCAGATAGTATCAGCCAGCTTCGACCCGAAGACCCATCCAGCAGAGCTCAAGCTACTGACCCACCCAAATCATGAGCTGAACAAATGACAGCTTGTTTTAAGCATCAAAGTTTTGTAGTGCTTTGTTACAGGGCTATAGATGACTAGTTCATTCCTTCAACTTTATCTTCCACGTAAGGTAAAATCCACTGCTCTGTTCTTTACTCCATTTTAAGGTATCAAGAGCTTCTTGAATAAAACACAATTCTGTTACTTGAATTCATGCAGTGTTTTTTCTTTTCTTTTTTGATTTTTTTTTGAGACAGGGTTTCTCTGTATTGATGTGGAGGCTGTCTTGGAACTAGCTCTGTAGACCAGGCTGGCTTTGAACTCACAGAGATCAGCCTGCCTCTGCCTCCTGAGTGCTGGGATTAAAGGTGTGCACCAACAACTCCCAGCTCAGTGTTTTTTTTTCTATGAGCAAAGCTCTGTGAATCAATTGATGATGATGGCTGACATTAATGTCAGACCTCCACACACACATGCACACCCACATCTGTGCCTACATGTGTGAGCACTCACACTTACATACTACATACACATGAAAATGGAAAAAGAAAAAAGAGAAAAGAAAACAAACCAGGGTTCTTTGCCTGGCATTAAGAAGACTGTAAAAATGTGCCAGGTGGAATTCTGCCCACAAAACCCTTGTGATGGGAGACAAGGAGATTAACGATCCACAGTGGGGTCCCTGCTTCCTCAAATTACTTTGATTCTTGGCTTCTCCACTCCTTGTCTTCATCTTATCCTCTTTTGCATCTTCACTTTGCTTTGCTGACTCTGGCTCATCGTCTGCATCTCTAATCTCTGCAATGCTTCCAAGGCTTAGTTCTTGGAGCTCTTCCTTTCTCTATCTTTTCCCTCCTAGGTGGATCTTTCCAGTCTCGCAGGAAAGCAGAATTCCACCTACCCCCATAACTGTATCTCTACTCTGAGCCTCTCCTGCGAGCTCCAGTCTCATAGGTTTAATGATTCTCAGCACTTTCATCTATGTACCTACTGGTGACAGGTAAGCTGGCCTCCTTCCAGCCTTCTCTAACACAAATGCACACCAAATGCACTTCACTCATTTTCAAACCCCATGGCAGTCTATCACCTGCCTTAAGAATTCCTTCACAGCATTTCTTAACAGTCCAGTGGCTCTCACACCACCATGCTCGCCAGCCATGCTGCTGCCTCTTAGCTGGGACTCCTGGGGTTTTTTCCTACTGTGAATCCCTAGAGTCTGTTTTCTGCACAGAGCTAACCTTATCCACTAATGAATGTCAGTTCTCTTTTCAAGGCCTCCCATGACTTCCGATCTTCATCTATAATACAAATCCAGTCTGACTTTGATCTCTCATAGCAGACATGAGCAGAGTCAGGCAGCTTCCCTGATTCATCTGTTGTTATTTCCCTGATATTACACACCGGCCTTCTCAACCATATCACTTTTCTCCAGGCATGTCAAGAATCCCCTTAAGACCCCAAGACTTTGCACACACTGCTCCATCTGCTTGGAAGATTCCTCCTCTAGCAAGCCTCCTCATGACTAACATATCATTTCAATGGTATCTTTTTTTTATTGCCATTAATCAGTAAGGTCTTCCCTGATAGTCTATCTAAAACAGCCCCCTCCAACTCTAGATTGTAACTTCAACAGGAATAGAAAGGCTTTCTTGTTCCTTGGGATAGCTCCAGAGCCTGGTGAACAGCAAATAACCAGTACATATCTGCTAAATAGAATGAGAAGAGAGGGAGGCAGGGAGGAAGTGTTTCTGCTTCCACAGTGCTTTGAAACAAGGGAGAACGGGTTGTCAAGGAGTGTTGCTTTAGCTAACCAATGGGGTGATGGGGGATGCCCTTCTGTATTATGTTTCTCTTATTGGTTGATGAATAAAACAGTTTGGCCAATGAGACAGGAAGGAAGGCAGGACTAGGAGATGATGAGAATTCCAGGAAAGGTGGGAAAGGTAGGCAAGTCCCTCGCCATATAGCTGAGGAAGGAGTAAGAGGTCTGGGCCTTTTTTGGGTAAGATAAGACCATGTGGAAGTACTTAGATTAATAGAAATGGGTTAATAATTAAGACAGAGCTAGCCAATAAGAAGCCCTAGTTTCTGGCCAACAGATTTATAATTAATATGTCTCCGAGTGTTCATTTGGGGGCAAGATGGCTGTGGAACCAGGTAGGAAATCCTGTTACAATGGGGCTTGCCACCTGGCTTCCCTGTCTCTTTACATGGCCATTCCAAAGTCTCCCTGCCTCTAGCCTAATCTTCCCTATCTATTTTAGTGGGATATTCACCTTGTCTCCTTCTATGGCACTGACCATGCCCATTGGGGGGTGGGGCCAGGGGTGGAAGTGACCTGTGGAAGGAGGTCTGAGGAGGAGCCAGGGAATGCTCTTTTGCTGGCAGGATGCGGAGAGGAGAGCATCCAGTGGAACTTGCTGGTGTTCATCTGTCTAGGTTGTAAGTTATTTCTCCCTGAGTAAACATCTATTCGGCCTATTTGTTTATCCTGATCCTTATTAAGCCACAATAATCTATCATCTACATCACCTTGAGAATGGTCCTAAAGTACAGGCTAGATGTCACTGTCCCTTGGATAAGTTTTCAGTAGCTTCTCATGGCCTGTAGAATCAGCTCAGTCTCTCGTGCCTGGCAGGCAAGGCCATCCAAAATTTTAACTTATCATCTGTTCTCATATTTTACTATGTCCTAACCACTGTGAAGGCTGAACTAACTCCAGAGAAATGCTGTGTGCAGAAGCCCATGCATGCCTCAATTCTCCCCCACTTTCAGATGGCCCCTTTACCCATCCTACCTACTGGGACCCCTCCACCCTTGAGGTTCAGTGGAAGGGCCTGCTGTGTGACAAATGCCTGGATGGCATCATGGGTCTTTGTTGTCTCTGCTCTTTGCCACTGTGCTTTCCTCAGATCCCACTGTGGGTACCTCTAACTGTCCTGCTTGCTCTTCTATCATTAACCTCCATGTCTCTCCCATCACAGGAGTCTTGGGGGCAGAAATCAACTGGACACATTTTTACAGTCCTTCAATGCCAAAGAGCTCAGGTTATTTTTCCTTTCTCATTTTTCTTTTTCCATTTCCATGTGTATGAGCATTCACAAGTGTGTAGGCACAGGTATGGGTGTGGATGTGGGTGTGGAGGTCTGATGTTAGTGCCGCACACCATCCCCAATTGTTCCAGAGAGCTTTACTCATAGTAAACACTTGGCTGGTGATTCTGACTGAAAGCAGTAACTTTATGGGACATTGCTGGTAAAACACAACTGTCATGAGTCAGAGATACAGATTTTAGAGGTGTTAACAATGTGAAATCAGAGCCAAATTTGTTATAGTAAATAGAAGGACTTCCTCTATTTATGATACAGGGCTCAGTGTCATGGCTGATCAACCTAGAGTTCTCACAAGGGTGCCTTGTCTGAAGCAGGCATTGTGATCCTTACCTCCTCTCTTGCTCTCCTTTTCAATATTCAAAGTGTGTGTGTGTGTGTGTGTGTGTGTGTGTGTGTGTGTGTGTGTGTAGGGTTAAAGAGAACAGTGCAACTCACTTGAGGGCCTCAGCTCTCATTGTCAGTTATTTTTCTTGCTGACAGGAAGGTGAAGCTCGCCCATGCCTACCTCTTTCTGGTTTCGGTGGACTTAGCCGTCTTGATGGTGCTCCCATCCTGAGCCGTTTCTCTTTCCTGAGGAGTATCTCTGACAGGTATGGGAAGGACCACTGTTTCCTGAGTCACAGGGATGACCTCCTCATCTGCCCCTTGCTGGCCCAGATGCTGCTTGGCATAGTCAAAGCCTTGCACGGGCTGTGAGGAAGAAGAAAGTTTGAAGTCATACTTCTAGAGCTTTGAGAAGAGACAAGCAGCAAAATGCATGTGATGGGTCCCACCATCTTATCTGGGCATTGTTTACTGTGCTTAGCCTGGTTTCTGCCCTGACAACATGGGCTCATCTGTGAGGGATGGGAAATCTCCAGGAGCTAAGACTTCTTCCCAAGAACACAGTGATAGGATGAGCTGGCTCAGTTCCCATCTTCACTCTCTGTTTATAGCTCTCTATTTGAGCCTTCCTCCTTCAGACTTCTTATCCATTAGATACTTCTGAAGACTGGGTCACTTATGAGTGTGTGAGAACAGAGACATTAAGACATGACAGCTTCCAAGGTAGCTATTGTTAGTAAGTTAAAAAAAACTTTTACACAAGTGTTTGGTACAACACATGAAACACTGATTTATCTTTTTGAAAGATCAAAGAAAGGTAAACATTAGTCTTGACATTATAGGGAAAAAATACAGAATCTCAGAGAGGGTCAGTGAATGCCCAAGAGAACACAGCTAAGTGATAAAAATCAAAGCACAGGTCCTTGATTTTCTGACTCTCAGGGCAATGGGCTTAACTCTTTGAAAATTGCCTAACATCAATCAATTGCTCATCTGACACACATTGGTAACTTCCAACCTCAATAATACAATACCACTCTAGTGAGCTTCATGCATTTACCAAATCAAAATAATAATTCCTACACTGGGGATACACAGTTCAGTGGTAGAGCACTTGCCTACCATGCACAAGGCACCAGGTTCAATCCCTAGTACCACCACCATTACCACTACTACTAGTAGTAATCTCCAATAATTTTTAAAGGCAGACAGTTACATTACTTTTAAGATAAAGTATATGAAACAATAAAAGTCAATTTGTATGTGACATCTATTATACACCAGGCAGAGCTCAAAGCAATTTACATACCTTAATTCACTTAATCTTTATACCTGCCTACCCATGAATGGTGCTACTATCCCCATTTAACAGATGGGGAACTCAAGGCGCAAAGAGGTACTATAACTGTGCTGAGGTTATATAGGTAGCATGTGAGGAAGAGTAAAACTGGGGCTGTTCTCAGAGGATGAATGACTCGACCCAAGCAGTTTGTGCCAGCCCCTGCAGGCCCGGCAAGGCCTTCCCTGCATCTGGGTAGGCTCTAATGACCTTCTCCTAAAGATGCCTATTCTTACTATGTTCTTTTTATATGAAGGGAGAGCTGGGAGGCAAGGCTGAAGATTCATTGACCAAAAATAAAGAGAGGTGATCAAAGAAGTCACGGGGTAGGGAAAGCCACGATACTGTGTTCTCAGCACTCTCCCTGCAGAAAGCTAGCTGACAGCGATAGCAACAGGGTGTGACCATGTACCTTGTCTCTGAAGAGGGTGTACGGTCCTTTCTGGCCTTGGCTCCCAGAAAAGCTCACCCACCTTCTCTGCTTAGCATGCCAAGAATATTACTGAGTCTCAGGACAGGTCCCCAGGCTCTCCTCTGCCTCTGCCTCCTGCATTCTAAGGATGCAGGAATGTCCCTGGGGCCGTCTGCCTTGGCTACCGATTGGTGCCCACAGCTCGCTTTCTTACTGTGCCTTGCCCCTTGGCATTCATTGAATTCTGCTCACACTCTCCACACAGCAGTCTCTCAAACACTGCAGTGTCCCTGACTCTCCCCAGCAGGACTGCAGCACTAGGCAGGCCCATTCTGCGGGCTTCCTGCAACAAAGGAGCTTTGGGAATTGATATGTCACCCCCCACCCCCACTGTGGGAGTGACAACCAGCTGAGCCACACACAGGAGCATGCAACAGCTCATGGGACATAGGTTGGCTTGATTTTCAGCACCAGGTAAGGCATCTAAGAAGTGCAGTGCCTAGGGTGGGCACATGGAAGGAGCTGTGCCGAGCCACCAGCATTTCATCTGTCCCAGCTCCAGAGCTGCCAAACCAGGGGGATGCTGCTCACCTCAGCAGATGAATGATGATTGTGCGTTAACTCAGAGCTTCCCTTTCCAACACCAGTATGGCATGTTTTGCATTACTGGGCTAGGCTGTGATTCTGATAATTACTTGTTATGTCTAAAAAGACTCACATCGTAGGCAAGCTCAGATGGAAATGAAATATTCTGTCTTGGAACAGTCTCGTTTTTCACAGCTCAACAATTCCCAGTGTACCCTTCACCCCAGCATCCCACTGATTCTGAGAAGCAGGTGCCTTATGTCAACATTTTTTGGGGGATGGTGCCCCAGGAGACAGATTGTCTAATCAGGCTTCAGCTTCCTCACAGATGTATCTGCTTGCAATGAAATAAAAGTACCTTTGATTTCTTGTACTCAAGTGAGCTGTGCTCATGCAAACACACCAAAGCCCAGCGTGACCCTCCAAGGACAAGCTCCATGGCTGACACAAATTGCAATGTGTAGGAAGTCTGAGGGAGTGGCAGCTTGCTGTTCCATGTCTACAGGGCCAGATGGAGTTTAGGGGTTCAGAGCTGGGAGTGTGGGTGGGTGTAGGATGTAGAATGAGCTCTGAGAGGGCTTCAGAGAAGGCTTAGTTGTTACAGTGCCCACTGTGCAAGAGTGAGTTTGAATCTCCAGAGCCCTCAGCAAAGCTGAGTGTGGTGGCACAGGCTTGTAACCCCAGAAGCTGGCAGGCGAGAGCAGAGACAGGCAAGTCCTGAGGCTCACTGGCCAGCCAGGCTGGGCTCATTCAGTGAGCTGCCAATTCAGAGACTGTCTGAGAAAATAAAGATGGCAAGTGAGAGAGGAAGACACTTCACCTGATAGAAACTTCTGGTTTCCATCTGTATGCACATACTGTATGTGCACCCACACCAACAAATACATACAACATATACACACATGCACACACGCACGCATGCATGCACACACACATGTGCACGCACACACACACACACACACACACAGATGTAGTCACATCTCTGCTGTTTGTGGTGACTGGAGAAGTCCCCATGTCTCTCCCTCCAGATTTCTTGGCAGTTAAGTGAGAATAATGAAACCTGCCCTGACTGTGACCTACCTCCCAGGACAGCTGTGATGAACAAATGAGGTGACGGGCCTAGAAGAGCCAGCAGATTTTAAGGTGTTATTTAAACACCGGGTATTACAGATTGGACATTTACCACAGGGACTATCACAAAGGCAGCTATGTGACTGGAAAATTAGCTTCAGAATGACTTCAGTCTTCAATCCACCACCCTCCCAGTCACCAGAGGTGGGTGGGGAAGAGACATGCCGGTGATGGAGGGAGGACAGGGCTTTCAGCCAGGCTTTCTTTGGGCTACTGAATTGGTATCGGGTAGTTGCCGGCCTAACCTTTGCTTGTCCATCATGGCAACGGCAGGAGCAGGGTCATTAGCGGGATGAAGGGACTTCTAGGAGTCTATGTGCCCAAGGAGGTTTTGTGAGGAGCCAAGAGACCTTGTCTTGGTCAGCCTGGGCCACTACAACAAAATACCATTCATCAAGAGGATTATAAAAGGCAGATGTAGTTCTGAGGCTAGAAGGCTGAGGTTATGGTCCCAGAACAGCTGGACTTTGGTGAGGGCTCACTGCTGTGCTGGACACTGCCCACTTCTTGTGTGTTCATGTGGTAGACGAGGCTAGAGTTCCCGGGGCTAATTTCAAAAGGGTACTAATCTCACTCCTGGGAGTCCCACCTCCTCAGCCCAGTTATCTTCCCAAACCAACCTCGGAACACCTTCATATCGGTGGCTATGATGTTCAGACAGCTGCGGCTTAGTCTTACCATCAGTTCTGCTGCTAACTATCCATGGAACCAGGAAGGAGTCGAAGGAGTTACTTTTGCTTGTGCAAGGCAGTGGGGTCCAATTATTAAAGATATCTAAGGTCTTTTCATGTCTTTCTTGATACCAGTTGTCAGTACCTCAGGTTTCTCTGTCAGAGAAACCTGTCACCTCAAGAGGATATGGTGATGGCGAGAGATGCTCCACGAGTCAGCTACTCAAAAACGTTTGTGTGAGAGAGCGGGCAGTGGAGAAGCATGTGTCGCATGCTCATCATAACGAGATGACATATTTCTTAAGTTACTTGACAGCCTCAGAAGCCCTGGGAGAAAGGCAGGTGCAGCCTCCAGGCAGAGCCCCTGGCCCTCCCCATGCCCATGCGTACCTTTGCTCTCTGAGGCAGGTTTATCATGGTGTCCGGCTTGAAGTCATTCTTGTTCTTCCTACAGAGCACAGCAGTGATGATGATGATGATGACAGTGACCACAGCGATGGGTGCCAGCACTGCAGCGATGATCCACAGGTTGTTGGGTGGATTCTTCACCACGGCTGTGGGAAAAAGCCAGCAAAAGGCACATGACAAGGGGCCCTCAGTAGGGAAAAGCCACCCAGACACAACTCCCAATCCCAAGTCAGAAGACAGGGAGAGATGGAACTCAATAGCCTATGAAGCTGTGTGACCTTGGGAAAGTTGCTCAAGCTCTCTGAATCTGTAAAAAGGGAGCACCACTTTGTGGTGCATTTGTGTGACTCCTAGCAGATGCTCAGTTGACTTTTGCCCCCACTGTTCCCAAGAGCAGAAAGAGGAACACCATTCTCCTTGTTGGTGACAGTCAAAAGAGAGAAGGAGAAAAACACATGAGGATTAGAAATGCATGTCAGAGGGGCTGGTGAGACGGCTCAGTGGGTAAGAGCTTTTCCCTGAAAGCTCGAGGACCTCAGTCCAAGTCTCCAACACCCACGCAGAAATTTAGAAAAGACTACATGTGCTTGTACCGAGCAGAGGGGGTCAGAAACAAGCAAATCTCAAGAGCCCACAGACTAGATGGACTAGCTGAAATGGCAAGTTTCCAATAACACACAAACACAAACAAAGGCGTGTGTGTTGGAGCCAGGAGGCAAGAGCCACCAAAAGATGATTCCAACTATAGTCGTGAAATCACCCTGTGAGTGAGGAGTGAATAAAATGTAACCTGAGCAGATGGATCCCCTCAGAATGGCCTGGGAAGCTTAGAAAATGCCTTGGACTAACCACAAGGACCAGGCTGTTCTCAGTAGGGGGATAGGTTACAATAACAGCAGGTGTCTGCAGGGGGTGGGGCAGGAACATAACCCATGAAGAGATGATGCAGAGCTGGCCATGCCCTGTGCCCTTGATGTGACTTCCAAAGTGGAATATGGAAAACAGGAATCCAAACAGATGCCTGTGGGAGGAGTCACAGGATGGGAGGGAGGGATGTCTGCAGCTGTCTTAGAGAGGAACCGAAGGTCCAGGGGGACTTGCCCATGGTAGGGAGTGTGCCCTGAGTGCACACTGAATGTTGGGGCTGGGTGTTGGGCTATTAGGCCTTAGCTAACTATTGTCGCTAAGGCCAGAGGCTAGAGAGGACAACTTCTGTACCCCCCCCAATCAGGTACATTCTGAGAATTAAACACAGATTAGGCTTGGCAGCAAGATCTGTTATGCACTAAGTCATCTCCCTGGCCCCCATGACACAACTCTTGATTGTCTCCCTCCATGATCTGTTCTTCCTGAGACATTTTCATCTGCATTCCTGCTCTACTGCAAGGCAGGCCATCACCATGCTGTCAGTACTGACTCCTGCATATCCAGCATCCTGAGAAGAATCCTGTCACTATCACCAGGCTCTTCCAGACTCCCTTCCCCAAAGGTCCTGGATGACATCTCTGTTCCAAGCCTCCTCTGGTCACAGCAGCAAGGCTCTAAAACACATGTCAGCACGGGCATTTGTTCATCTTGTCACCCCTTCTCTCTCTCTCTCTCTCTCTCTCTCTCTCTCTCTCTCTCTCTCTGTGTGTGTGTGTGTGTGTGTGTGCGCGCGCGCGTTAAACATAGGGGCATCCTCAGGACCTACTATGACAGGGCTTTCCCCATAATGAGTGCTTAACCAGAAGCTCAAGGCTTGAGCACATAAACTGCTTTTACACCTGTCGCAATGAGACCAAGCTAGAAGGAAAATTTCATCTCTATGGTAATTCTAGTCTACTTTATATTTTGGTCTTTTACATGTTTGGTTGGCATGAGTCTTCCTAACTCTGCTGAATTCTGGAGGCTGCGTGGCTCAAAACTGAGGACTTAGGCCCTGCAATACCAAAGCCCCACTGGTGAGTGACACATGGGGGCCTTCTTCTGACTTCAGCCACCTCCACTTCAGCTGGTCCCTTGTTAGCCAAATCCTGCCTGTTATCTGGCTGCCCTTGGGCTCTGAATCCTATTAGTATAGAAGAGTTTCTTTTCACGGTTTGTATCAATCAGTGATTAATCACATTATTAACTTCTGAAAACAGCTCATTAGATAATGCGTTTCTGTTGACATTGCATTTAATTGCTACTGCTCTTAGTAGCTTGTATTTATATGTGAGTTCTCTGCCATTAACATTTGCTAAAGCTCAGAGCTTCTGTGGAAAGTAGTGCTAATGCCTCTTTCAGGTTACACTATTTTGTCCTGATGCAGAATAGGATATCCAACTCATCACATGATGGAGATGCACGTGTGGTGTATGAGAATGTGTTCCAAATGCATACATATTTATCAATACATAGGTACATAGGAAATGCATGCATATGTATACAATTAGTAAGCAGGACTAGTTATGTACTCTGATTTGGTTTTATTGTGTGGGTGGATAACTTTCTGGTACAGTATGTAAAACTCTTTCACCTCTATTTAAATGGGGGAGAGAACAGATTTACCTTATGCACATTAATAAATTCCTCTAGTGGCTGAAATGATATTAAAGCTAGGTCAATTGGAGTCATCCACATCCAATGTATTCATTGGCATGTGATATTAAAGTACGAGGCCAAGTACAGGGTGAAGAGGTCTGAGTGGTCATTTAAATTGCAAGTAGAGGACAGAGAGGAGAAAAATGATAAGCTCCGAGTGCCTCTTCAGCATCGGACACAATGGCCTGGCCTTTGCCTGCAGACTGTCCTCATCCTGGTTCACAGATGAGGAAACAGAGCCAAGGTAATGTGGACGTTCATCTCCTTAAAACCACTCTAAAATGGGCCTGCTGAGTTACCACACGGGAATGGAAGTGTGAGCTGACATCTAGACGTGTGCTGGAGTTCACACTTGCCTAAGCATTTGCCAGGAGGATCCAACAGTGTAAACACAAACTAAGTGAGTCTCACTGGACAGCACTAAAGGGACAAGCATCCGGCTATGTTTTGAGCTTCTTGGTTTTCTCAAATGTTGGTGTCTAGAGCTGAGTGAGTAGATGCAGGGGTGACCCTGCCCAGGGCTCCACCCAGGAGTCTGTGTTCAGTCTATGCTCTTTTTGTGATCAAAACCCTCTCACAGCTTCTCCTCCACTCAGGACCAGCCTGTGAAATGTAGTGGGGCCCCTCTCCTGTGCCTCAGACCTCACCACCTCCACTCTTCCTTCTTGTGGACCTTCTCACTCAGCCGCACACCCTCCTCTGTCTGGACCCAGGTCCTAGATGGCTTCAGGAATCTTTCTGTTCCCTTCTCCCATTTAGCTGGCTATTCCCTGATCCTCTTCATCCCCCCCCCCTGCAAGCAACACAACCTTATAAATCACAACCTTATCTCCTCCATATCCACAGTGCCACTGAGGCACTTACCACCACCTAGAGTAGTATTTATTTGGTTACTTAACCTGTCCACTCAGAACAAGGATGGTGAGTAGTGAGCCCACTCTCGGGCTGAAGCATTAGACAGCAAGGGGAAAGAAGGCTGGGTGGCAGGAAGCATAGCCTGGTGTGCAGGGTAGTATTTTGACAAACTTAATACAAACCATGGTCACCTGGGAATGAGGAACCTCAATTGAGGGGGGAAAAATGTCCTCATCCGATTGGCCTGGAGGAATGTCTGTGTGGCATTTTCTTGAATAATGATTGATGTGGGAGGGCCTAGTCAAATGTGGCTACCTCTGTGCAGGTGGCCCTGGGTGGTATAAGAAAGAAAACTAAGCAAGCCATGGGAGCAAGCCAGTAAGCAGTGTCCCTCCATGGCCCCTGCTTCGGCTCCTGCCCCGACTTCCCTCGCTGAAGGACTGTGGCATGGAAGTGTAAATTGAAGTGGACCTTTTCCTCCCAGAGTTATTTTTGGTTATAATGTTTTATCACAACAACAGAAAGCAAACCAGGATACCCGGAGACCTGAGTGGGTGCTGAGAGGCCATTTCCAGGGATGTGCGCACTTCATTCTGTAGATGATGGAGAAATAGTAATTATGTTTTATGGAGCTGATGTAATAGCAGAACCCAGATTTGATTCCAATGTTTCCAGTGTCAGTGTGGAAGACACACAGACGCACACATCACGGTGAGTACGCGGAAGCTACTGCTGCCGCTGGGGACGGGGAGGGGGGGTGGAGGGATGGAGAACGGCTTTGATGTGTGGGTTATTGAAGAGTTTCAAAGAGCTGGTGAATTGGAGACAATGAAGTGAAGGTGAGGGAGCGGGCAGGACAGTTGCATCCTTAGTCCAGTCTCCTTTCCTTCTCAGCACCTAGGCTGGTTTCCAGAAGGCTCCACACATCTAATCTGGTGCGAACTCCTCTTCTTTCCCCTTCCCTCAGTCCCTGCCAACCATCCCCAGCAAAGTCCCCTTGCCTCACCCCTCCCTTGGTGTGTGTTCTCATCTTGCATTCACTGAGGGCAGCTCTTTTCATCCTTTCCCATGTACCACAGGTCTGGAGCAGAAAGGAAGTCCAAGAACAAAGAGACTAAAAGGAACACGAGGCTTGGACCACGGAAATGATGGAGAGGTAGGGCCAGTGAGCCAGAATGCTAAGAATGCCCCATGAATGGTGTTCCGGGGCATCTATAGAGGGCTGCAAGATGATCTAGGATATATGTTATGGTGTAGACTTGGATGCGTGTCCATGCCCATGTAAGCATGAAGATTAGAGGTGGACATCAGGTGTCCATGGCTACCCTTTGCTTTATTGCCTCGAAACAGGGTCTCTTACTAAACCTAGAGCTATTCTTAGGGTGAACAAGCCCCAGCAATGCTTTCGTTTCTGCCCCGACACAGCCACACATAGATTTTTATGTGAATATTGGGGATTTGAACTCAGAACCCCATTTTCTTACCCACCAAGCCATCTCCTCTGCACTGGATCTGAACTTACAAAAGAGGAGAAGGAATTATCTGGACACAGTAGGGGAAACAAGGATGAGGATGCCTTGGCAACCTGCTATGCTGTCCTAACCAGTTGGCTCTGCTTAAATCCATCTCCTGCCTTAAGCTTAGCTGCCAACTTCACTTCATGATGCCCCAAGAGAACAGAACCAATCAGAATGCATCCTTGGGCTTCAGTTACCAAACGCACCATAGTACTGTTTTCTTATAATAGGGAGGTCTGTGTAGGATCTCTCCACATGTTCACAAGGTCCAATCTCTTGGCTCACTTGAGGGGTCTGACTTACAAGTCTTCCCCGTTGCCACCTACTCCCTCTAGCCCCACAGATGACCAAACCCACTCACTGCCTCAGTGTGCCCCACACAACTGTTCTATTCATCTCCCCTTTTTGTCACTATGGCCCCATCATGATCATCTTCTTACCTTCCCTTACAGAGCCACCATTAGCCGGATCACCAAAAATCTCCATCTGACCCAAGTCTGTCAACTTGTATCTGATGGCACTGCCTCCTGAGGATCTAAATAATCACGGAATCCACCCCTTTACACGAGAGCTGTGGGTGGGCTTCCTTTTTGGAGCCGAAGCTCCAGGCAGTTGTGAGTTTCCTAGTGTGGGTGCTGGGAACTGAACTTGTGCCCTCTGCAAGAGCATTAAGTGCTCTTAAGCTTTGAGCCATCTCTCCAGTCTCTCCACTGGCTTTCTAAGCCCTGCTGTCCCCTGCATCTCCTGCCAGCCCCTTGCCATCCCCAGGATCCTCTGTTGGCTCTTTGTTTTCCATGCCTGGACTTCCCAGGGTCTTCACCCTTGCTCAGTTGCTCTCCCTTTCCTCTTCACCTGCTCCCTTTGCTCTGCACATTGATGTTCTCAAGCTCCTCCCTCTGAGGACTTCCCGGATCCTCCAGCAGACATTTCAAACTTAATGTATAACTTCCATCTCCCTGATTCCCATCCCAGACATGAAATCCACACCTTCTGCATCTCAACAAATGCAGAGCTCAAGCCAACACCCACAAGTATCCAACGATTCCTCTGATCCCCCTCTTCTCTTCCTGCCAGAAAAAAATCTGTTGTTTGAACCCATCAGCTCTGTTGCTCAAAATATTCTGAATCCATCCGGTTTTCCATTCCTAGCATCGACACCTCTCTCCTTTACCTATGATCTGTTCTTCAGGAAGGGGGGGGGAGACATAAACACTGAGGACAGAACTTTGGGGAAAAATCCACATAGAAAAGACAACAAAACACAGGAAGTGGTGACCAGAAACTGACAAATACAGAAGCAATGAAGAGGGAAAGGGAAAAGAGAAAAGAGACTCACAGTTGAAAGTGTCATTTCAAAATCAAGACTGCCGGGAATGGCTGTCATCATTCCTCAGCATAGGTGTGTCTGTGAGGATGTGCCAGCCAGGCATGATATGTCTGGCACACAGTCATCCCCAGGGAAGGCAAGAGAAGAGGAGAAGGAGGAGAGTATGAGCCAGGTGTGGACCAACCTGATGATCTTTGTGGAGAGCGGACACCATCAAGAAAACCGTGGCAACTGACCTTCCACATCCTTCCATTAAAGCCTCCACCTCTTTTGTTTTGGGCCACTTAAATTACGTGATGTGTTCTAGGCACACTTGGTACATCTCTCCTGCATTTTTACTCACGGTGTTTTTCTGGAACACACACCCTTCCCTTCCCTTTAATGAGTTCTTAAAGTATGACACAGCTAAGAATACAGGTCTGAAATTGCAAATATCCGGGTTGGTGTCTTGGCTAAGTGCTCAGTTGTGATGGGTAAGCAGGTTATTCTATGTTTTTTGAGCCTGTTTCCCCTCCTGTAGTTTGGAGCTGAATTAACAGAGCCCTACCAGAATAGAAGATAAGTAAATGTAGCATAGTAAGTAGCACAATAGCTACCACAGAGAATGTGTTGGTTTAAATACCCTTCTTCTGTCCCCTGGTCCCAGAGGACCCTTCAAAGCAAACCCTCTCTCACAGGTACCAGTGTCCCACTGCCAGGCACATGTATCAACAACTCTCTCCCTCAGAGCCAGAAATCAGGTGTCACCAACGTCTGACGTCCTCCAGTACTAAGCATATCTCAAAAAGAGCTGAATGTTCACTGAATAAAATTATCTTTAATTCCCCCAGCACATAAATGTGATCTCAGCTGCAATTATTTTCTATAGCTAGATTATGCCAGATTTGAGGAGGAAGAGAAGGTAGCACCTGGGGACAAAGTGACATTATCACTATCATCATTTGGATATTCTAAACCATATCCCTTACCTACGGCCTGTTGCTTTAAGAGAAAACATAGCTGACTAATTTTCAAACCTCCAAGAACCAAACTTTGTTCAGCCGTAAGACCACTGGTAAGGGTTTGGAGGACCACCGGAAAGCACAGAAAATAATGCCATTAAAACACTGAATGAACAGACTTCTTACGGTCAGCTTGTAGAAGGACAACGTGATGCAGGGTCAAGGCCATCCTCTGGGAGTCGATGGTGCTCAGGATCTTGGCTGCTGCAGTCCCCAGCAGTGGCTTCCCATTGTACAGTGTGTAATATGTCAGCTCTGCTGGGTCCTTTGGTCCTGGCACTCGCTGCATCTTTACCATCTTCCAAGAAAAGAGAAGCAGAGGGTAGCCAGAGCATCTTGGACAGGCCCTGCAGGCCTCTGAGCCACCAGAAGGCTCACCTCATCCAGTCATTGAGGCCTGCTGTTGCCTAGTGGACCCACAGGACCAGGATGGACACCACCCTCCCCCCAGTGAGCCTCCTTACAGCCAGGGTCCCAGGAAGCTTATTATCCCTGAGACGAGGGACTGGGGGGAGAAAGACTGGTGTGAAACAAACACACCAATGTCTGGAAAGCATTTTGAAGCTGGGAGTGCAAACAGGAAAGAACAATGTTTCCCAGCCTCTGGCCTCATTTGAATAGGCCTCCACATTAATTCAGGGCACACTAGGCTATCCCAAACAAGGTGCTAATTTCTAAAAGCTTGAATTGCCTGAAAGGGGAAAAAGACCTATCTATAATTGAGGAGACCTCTGATAAAAGCAGTACTCAGAAACTCAAACTTCTTTCTCTAAATAAGATTCATACAGGGTTGCTTTTTTTTTCAAACTACAAAGTATACATTTAGATGGAAGAGCATCAAGCAATGAAAAAATTAAAATAATGTATAGTCCTTCCTCTGACAACAAAGAACTGTTAACCATTTTGGAGCTTTTGTTCCTAGTGTTTGTATTTTTCACACAAACCTTCTCTTTATTATCTCATCAAAACATCATATTCTCTATGTGACATCATACCTCACATATTATATTTATGTGTGCATGCACACATGTGACATAATACATGATGCATGTGTGGTCAGAGAATAACTTGTAGGAATGGGTTCTTTCCTGCTATCATGTGGGTCCCAGGAATTGAACTCAGGTCCTCAGGCTTGGTAGCAGGTGCCTTTACCTGCTGAGCCACCTCAGAGGCCTGCAGCTCACCATTTTACTCACATTTTTAAATGACCTGATTGATGTTTTAAATGCAGAAGCATTTGTCTCCACATAGCATTTAAATATCTGCCTCACAAGATTCCCTAACAAGCCCTTTATTGTTAGACATGTAGAGTGTAACTTTTAAGTTTTAGAATTACAAATTGATAATCATATGATATGATCATGATAATCATAATATATGGACACAGTGTTCTGTTGTATGGTTGTAGGCATGGTAAACAGGAATGACAGGAGAAAAGGGTAGATTATTGAATCTACTTTAATCCCAAAAGCAACTATTGATCTCAAAATATTTTATATTGCTATGGATTTTGATTTATTGATACAAATTTAAAGTTATTTTTGTTTTACTTCATATATGTCTTATGTATGTATGCAATGTACAATTTAATAAAAAGGTTAGTAGTCATCTAATCAAACTTGTAGTCATATTAGCTATGTTTTCAAGGTTAAACAGATATATTTCAATAGGTGATCTTCAAACACTTCAAAGACTTACAGAATATGAATTAAAAAAATTTTATTAACAAGGCTTTTCTTGACAGGAAGACATGTCTGTCTCTAGTAGAACCAATTTACTTCAGAGAAGATGATGGACATAAAAGAAATTCCATATGGAGTTTGCTTTCTTTATGGCAAAAGCTAGCTTTGCCTCAATTGCTGATATATACTGTCCAAATTGGACCAGCAGGATGCAAAAGAAAATAACTGCCAAACTTTGCCAAGACAAGGCAGGACAGTCCCTCAAAATTCCTGCTTCACAGAAAAGTCTGTCAGATATGCCTGTAAGCCAAAGATGGATGCCCCAACATTACAGGGAAACTCTGGGTGACCATCAAGGCAGCCAGATGCTTCTGTAGTTAGGTAACATTACACTCTGCTGGGAGTCTTTAATGGAATAAACTAGTTATAAAATTTTAGACTCACAAAGATAAGATATATAATAGAATATTTTCTCTAAATTTGCCAAATATAAATGGACTGGATATTGTAACTGTAATTCTTACTTGATAACTATCTTGTATATAATTTTACTATGTTAAAGTTACTATGTAAAAGTTTTTAATTAGATAAAATGGGGGAAATGCTGTGAAACAATCTTTCTATATACTGTGAACATTTGTTGCTTTCATTGGTCTAATAAATGGCTGGATGGCCAATATCTGGGCAGGCAGAAGTTAGGTAGAACTGAGGACAAAAAGATTGTGGGGAAGGAGGGCGGAGTCACCAGAGATGCAGAGAGAACCAAGATGAACATGCCATGCTGAAAAAAGGTACGACCATGTAGCAGAGTGTAGATAAGAAATATGGGTTAATATAAGTTGTAAGAGTTAGTAATAAGCCTAGGCTAGCAGCTGAGCATTTATAATTAATAATAAGTCTCAGTGTGGATATTTGGGGAGCTGGCTGGTGGGGCAGGGATGAATGGTGCAACACAGAAGGTCCACATACATAAATATTGAGCATTTAGGATTTTAACTTTTGGCTTTTAAAATTAGCAATTAGTTGATAAATATGGTATTATAATATTTTCAAAGTAGACATTACAGTTATTAGTTTCATAGAATATAAAAAGATACAAAATGTTTATACCAACACCAAAAAATCCTGAAAATCCAAAAACCAATTGTAGTAAATTGAATAAATGAGTTATGGAAATTTACACAATAGAATATAATGAGTGAATTACTCCAGTTCATATGAATGTAAATTACAAATTGCAGAATTTCAAATTTAAAACAGGAAAAACAACATGGCATATTTTAAAGGATCTACATGGGGAATATCTATATAGATATAGAATATCTATATCTATATAGAAAATACAGGACTGAGTAAATACAAAATTCAGAACCACATTCAACTTGGATAGGAAGAAAAGGTATATAATTTTAAAAGTTAATGCTGTGTGTATGTGTGTGTGTGTGTGTGTATGTGTGTGTGTGTGTGTGTGAGCACACGTGTCTATTGCTCTGGCCTGTATGTAGTTCAGAGGTCAACTTTAGGTATCTTCCTCCATCACTTTCTAGCTTGGTTTTTGAGAAAGTGTCTTTCACTGAATCTAGAGCTCACTAATTTGGCATGGCTAGCTGGTTAGTGAACCCCCAGGATCTGCCTGTCTCTACCCTTTCCAGTCCTGGTGTTACAAGTGTGTGCTGCCAAGACCTGCTTTAGGTATGTATTCTGGGGAACCAAACTCAGCACTTTACGCCTGTGCAGGAAGCATTTCACTGGCTTAGCCATCTTCCCAGATACATCCACTACAGAAATAACTCCAAATTCTAGCCATCTACATCTCCATATTTATGACAGGAAGTCGTTTCATAAATGACTCAAACCAGAAGAAAGGCCTCTGGGTCAAAGGTAATGGAAGTTCCATCATGTGGGTTTGGGGGAGTCTTAGACATGTCACTCCTTTCCCTAGTGGGTGAGGAAGTGGGCAGTATTTGAATAACCTGGCAGAGGTGAGTGATAATTCAAACATCTATAACTTCACTCTTTTCCAACTTGGTAGCACTTCTTACCAAGATCTGACCAAGTATGATGTCAGGAGCAATCTATAGCATCTAGATGTAGAGACTTGCAGAAAAAAAGAAATGCCAGTTTGCCTCACTCCGACATGCCATCTCTCTGCAGTCTTGGAGATGTATGGAACTGTTAGGGCCATAAGTAGCACTGGGCTTGTAAGATGGTCCTCTCTCTCCCATGGACTGATGTGATGACTTCACAGTCATGTGGTCACCAGTGACTTGCTTTCTGTCATTAGGAAAAGCGTGAATTGTAGGGCTCACAGGCAACAGATCTGCAGAGGGGAAATCACAATCCTGTCTTCTTGTGAAATGAACCATCTTTTTATCTACGGATGGGCTGGCATGGAGGAAACTTTTCAGAACCAAACTGACATCTGATAGGACAATGAACACAATTTACTACTGCACGTAAAGAGACACGGAGTGTCTGCCAGGGCTGTGATGCAAACCATGCAGAGAGAGGGAGAAGGTGGATGACTTTCAAGAAGTCACAGAGATGTGATCTGCAAACACATCGTGCTAATGTCTGCAACTTCCACACAGCATGACACTGTGCATCTATGCAAACTTGGTCCGTTATCAATCAGGAGTTCATAGGTCAGCATAAGGCCACACTACTAGGAAGGCAACTAATGTGGGCTTTGTCAATTAGCATAGCATGTTAGAGATGGGTTCTCAGTGGTAAAGGATGAATCATATTTAAGCTGTCTGGATTGGGTCAAATATGCTAAGCACATTCCCACTCTAGGAGGAACTGGATAAGGTGTGGAGGGAGATGCAGATAGCCTTCAGAGGGACAGCTGATGTCCTGACCACTCAAGTCCCTTAAAACTAATCCAGAGAACTTTGTGCTGGCAGTTTCTTTGAGAGGTTCAAGGAATTGACAGGAGGGTGAGAGGTGACTTGGGAACGTTTCTTCATAAATACCTACATGTATAGACTCCTTTCCTGGTAATCTAGTTACTGGTGATGAAGGAGGAGACCGATCCTCAGCCTCAAAAGCTTCAGAGGAATACTGATCAAGTGATTTAAGTCAGTTGGCAGTGTGGAATCGCCTCTGGGCACATGTAGTTGTTTAATCCCAGAACCCCCCCTCCCATAATCATTAGGACAGCTCATTGCACACACCTACCTGCACGGTATAGCTTCCCAAGGTGGTGGCCCTTTTAAACCGCCGGCTCTGTTGCTGGGACATCATGAACAGTTGGGCTAGACGCTGCTCCATGACCCGGGCAAAGCTCTGATTGTGTAGGCCCACCAGCGAGTTGTCTACACCCTGGAGCACTGAGGATGCAGAAGGCAGAGGGGATGCTAAGAGCCCAGACTCCCTGCTGACCCAGTAGCTACACCGCCACCTGCCCTGCATAACCAAGAAGGGCCACATGCCCTACTTACAATGTTGCTTGGCCAACCTTACCTACTTCACAACCTGACCTCACTTATCCTTCAGGGCAGCTCATGAGTTGACAATGTTTGCCTATGTGTTATTCAGGTTGGAAAGGTTAGTGGCCTGCTTAAGTGAATAAGTAGCAGAGTCAGGGTATGAATCCAAGCTTGTATAACTCCCAAAGCTCATGTCTTTCTTCTGTAAGCTGCGGCATCTCAAACACTGTAGCATCAAACCCTATGGGAGGAAGTTTTATTGGGGGAAGGAAGGAGAGAGAGGTAAGAGAAGAGAGAGAGAGAGAGAGAGAGAGAGAGAGAGAGAGAGAGAGAGAGAGAGAGAGAGAGAGAGAGAGCTGTCTGCCTCCTCAGAGAAATGGCCCAAACCCAAACTTTTAAAGATGACAGATCAGGCAAGAGTCCACAGGGAACGCAGCCGAGCTGCAGGTGCAGCTAATTGGGGTCTGGACTCACTCTCACTTGCAAATCCAATCATGGGTTTAGTTTTCTTTCTCAACAGCTTGGTGGAGGATTCACAGAGCCATACTGGAACTTGAATGCATACATTTGGGCAAACTATGCTATTCAGTATCTCTACTAGATAGGATCCTTTTTACCCCTAAAGCTTATCCTAAAGCTGCCCAGGGCCTAGCATGTCATTTCCCATTCAAGAATAAGACAACTCAATGGAAGGAGTGTGCTCTCTCTCATTTCTGGCTCTCATCAATTATGTGTCCTTCGGCAAGTCACTGGTCCAGCCCTCTGCAAAAAGGAAGGGTACCTCACAGCAAGCACATGACTAATGAACTCTAAGGTCAAAGGGGATGCACAAGGTGGTTTGTCCCTGTCCATGAAAGGTACATGGGATCCTTCCCTGGCCATTACCGGTCCTTGGTTAGATCTCAGTAGCCCTTTCTGGGGACAGCAGGAAAGACACTGACAGTGAAGTTGCAAGCCATTGCTAGTGCTAGGGTGAGAGTTGCAATGAGCACTAGAGACTCCCTGGGGCTTTCTACAGGGAAATTGCCCATTTTCATTTATATCCAGAGTCCAACTCTTGTTCTACATCCTTTGGAAAGCAGCTTTACCCCAAGCATGCCAACAGTTCCTTCAGACAGTCACACTCAAAATTTTAAGTGTTTAAACTGATTAATGGGGTTTTTAAGCTGTCAAAATTCACAAGGGATGGGAAGGGAATAGAAGTGTCTTCATTGAATAGAGTTGGTTCTAGCCCAGCCAAGCCCAGTGTCATGAATACCATCCATCCACCAAGGTACAGAAACAGTCCCTCCTAAATAGCATGCTGACTCTGTAGCCACTGATCAAGCAGGGTGTTGCACGTAGCCAGCACCAATGATGGAATCTCACACAGGGCCAGGGCAAGCCATCAAAAATGACATTGATACACGGATTAAGAAAGAAATAAAACCCACAGCCAGGTCTCTAAAATTACTTCTTTGAAGCCATAAATGCCAAATGATTCCCCTGGAGGGTATAAAGCATAGCTCTAGGGCCTTGGTGAGGGACTCGAGGTTGTTTGCCAGCCAAGTCCCTGCAAATAGAGATGGACACTGCTATATTGCTGTCAGTGTGCTGCAGACTCCTAGGGTCCCACAGACAGGAGAGTCTGGTTCAAAAAGACCCCATGTAGTAAATATACAGGCCAGACCACCGAAATGATTTCTAAGTTGGCTTCCCCTGACCAGTGGACAATTGGAAGAGAGAGGGCATCACAGACAGTTTACAGGAATCTCTGTCATGATTTGAAGGCAGACACCAAGTGATGGCAGTCTTCAGACTTCTAGGTCATGAAAAATGTTCCAGCAGTTAAAGGTTGCTTGGATTATGGACATTCTCTGTGCCACTGAATTGTGAGTTTAAGATGCTTAAAACGGGACATTTTATTTTATGTGTATTTTTAGTGCAATTCTCTTTAAAATAACAAAACGCCCCTAGGAAAGTACAGGAGAGTGTGGGAGGCACTCACAGCAGTCTAGTGATTAATGCCTAGACAGGCTTGAGTCCTCCCCCACAGCTCCTGTCAGCTGGGGGGAGTCGGGAGTCAGAAGCTGGGGTGTCAGTTGGTGTCAGTGCTCCCCTTCCCCAGACAAGCCACATAGTTTCTCAGGGCCTCGGTTCTCTACTGAGCTAACTACTGATTGTGAAGAAGAAATAATTCAGTAAATAATACATTTATCGGTGGCGCTGTAGACATCCATGCGGTTGCTAACACAGCCCCTCCCCTCCCGCCCCTTTGCTAGGTCCATTCTTGCCAGAGGAAGAAGTATCATGGAAGGAAAGGACTTGTGCTCCTGCACGTGGTTCTCCTCCCTCCCTTCTCCCCTCCCTCCAGGATCCACAGCACACTCTCCTTGACCTTGTCTGCCTACCCAGAAGGCAATGGAGGGTGAGTACTTGCATCTCTCATCTCTACAGTGACACAGTAGCTCAGATTCTTTAGCACATCATCCAGGGCCCTCTTGGCCACCCACTCTCAGTCACTACAGATTCAGAGTAGAGTAGAGGGGGCATTCCAAATCCCCTGCTGTGTTCAGAGGAGCTGGGTAGGAAAAGTCCAAGCCTGTGGCATCCCCTTGCCTTTCTATTTATTATCACGCTGGGCTCTAAGATCCACCACCAGGCATGGGTCAGCCTCCTGCACTTGAGCTAAATTGTTTCATTTGTGGTTAAATCCACACATTCAAACTCCAGGAGTCTCTGTGCTCAGCTGATACTCCCCCCTCATTCTACAAAGTGAGTTTGTGATACTCACAAAGCCCAGGGGACTGGCTCTAGGACACACTAGTAAGAAGCAGAGGCAAGAAGAGAAGAGAGGAAGACCACTTATTACTGGACCTCAGCCACTTTGTTTCTGGAGAGCGAAACAAAGGCAGGTGTATAAATTGGAGATGGGCTCTTCCCTCTGTTAGTGACCAATGGGCTTGCTGATTAGTCTCAGGCTAGCTGGCCAATGAGCTCCAGGGATCTGCCTGCCTCTGCCTCCTCTTTGATGTGGGTTCCAGGCAGTCTAATCCAGGCCCTCATGCCTGCATGGCAAGCCCTACTCACCAATATCTGGGCATCTCTACCTTGTTTCATTTCTATAAAACCACTTGCAACATCCTCAGATGGCAGGGCAGCCCAAATGTTTTCTGTACAGAGAAACTGCAGAGGCTACCCACTGCTGCTGATTTCCACTGAAGAAGGACCCACCCTCCACAAGAGGGGGAAGTGTACAATATACTCCATCTAAATCCAGTTGAGGCTTCCCAGAAGTTTGTAAAGTGGGTCACAGTTTGTATGGAAGGTAAGTGGGTCATGCCAAAACATGGTCCATTCCACACTGGCACTAACTGACTGAAGCCACCAGCAGAGGGATGGTGGCAGTTCTGTTTTGATCATTAACTGCAACGCCAACAACAGCAATGAGCAAGGAAGTCACATAAGTGGGTATGAAGGGCTAAGTCCCAGGTGAGGTCAGAAACAAGTCTGTGTGCATGGCTTTCTGTAAGGTATGACCTCAAGATGAAGGCACAGCAAGTCATAGGTAGATGGGGAGGGGGGTCTCACCAGTGGCTGCAAGGGCAGCCCTATGTTTAAGAATGGATTATGATCACTGAAGGTAAACTTTAAAGTTCAGAGAAGGGGGATATCTGTGAAGGAAAAGACACCGTTGCTGGAGGAAGATATGCAGTTTTGTATCGTTATGTAACCTGCTAGCTCAAAGATGTGTTGCTGGGTTAGCATGGCCTCTCTAGGGTTTGCGTCCTGGTAGAGTAGTCTCTTATCTGTTAAAATATGGGTCTCAGCCAGAAGGACTGAGCAGTCTAAGGGATCTCAGACAGTGGAGCCAGGATGTATCCCTGGTGCACAAAAGGACCTTGCGAACACATCCCCCATGGAGGGATTACTGCCTTAACCTAGAGACAGGAGAGAAGCCTTAGTCCCTACTTCACATGACCTGTCAGATCTACATGACCCAAACTGGATAGCATTCCCCTACATATGGAATTGGGGTGGGGGGATGGGAGGGGAGGGTGGTTAGAGTGCATGTGAGAGGGCAGAGAGAAAGGAAGGGAGGGTAGAAGGAGGAGGGAGGGAGGGGGGAGGGAGAGGGAACTGGGATCGACATGTAAAATAATAAATTAAATAAAAAAAATGCTTTGACTCCAAAATTTAAGTTCAAGGACAAGTTACTGGGGAAAAGGATTTCTATTTTTGTTTCCACAGAAAATGAAAAGCTGTGGATTCCTTCCAGACTAATGTGGTTTGATCAAGCTAGACCACCTGAAACAGAGTACCAGGTGATCCTACATTCAAAACAGCTGGACAAAGCAGCCTTATAGACTACAGCCAGGATTTCTGCATCTTCTTAGAATCCCCCATGACAGCGCCCCTTACCAGCAGGAAGTAGTTTGGAAAGAACAATGCCCAAATTCCCAAATATTGTCTATAAATGTTTGTTTTCATTTAAATGGACTTGGTTATATTAAATAAATAAATAAATAAAAAAAATATGCTTCTTTAGTTTGCCTTCTTAGCGGTTAAAATGACCTCTGCACACCAAAGTCTCTGTAGTGGGGCACGTGGCTGATCTTGTCTTTTAGAAGACAGTACAGGCAGGCACCATGCAGCACAGTGGGAGCTACTTGGATGGAATCTTAGGCAACAACCCACCTGCCACTTGCTTGGGACAGCAGTGAGGGATGGATGGATGAGGGAAGGGAGCTCCGGGCAGCTGCTCCCCTATACACATGCCCATGTTTTGAAGGATCTTCCTACCTTCTCATTGACCGGCTGGACTATGTTCCCAAAGTTCACATGTGCAAGTCCTAGCCCCCAGTATATCAGAGGGCGCCAGTATTTGGAGAGAGGGTCTTTGTAGGGGTAGTTGAAATTAAAGCTAGGTTACGAGCGTGGGCCATAATCCAATGTGTCTGACGTCTTCATAAGAGGAGGAAAACAGGACAGACAAGCTCAGAGGGAAGAACAAGGGTAGACAAATGGGGAAGGTGACCAACTTCAAGCCCAGGGGACAAAGGGAAGGCGCAAACTTATGGATGCCTTGGTCTCAGACTCACAGAACATCGAGAACATAGCTTTCAGTTGTCTACACTCTGATGGCGGGGCGGGTCACTTTTCCTCCTACAAACAGATGTCCTCTCCATTTGCCTCAATAATGTTGTTTCTCTCATTTTAGAGCCACTGTGAGGCGTTTGAAAGCACAAACAGAATGCTTTTACTGTTTCCTAATGTTCAGCTGTGAAATGTCAGGGGAAAAAAAAAGAAAATGCCACGAGAACACTCTTGCTCTTTGACTCCCACTGGACCTCATCTGCAGAGCACACCAGGACCGGTGTGGGGTGGGTCGTGTGCCCCGAGAAGGAGCAGCACATATATGGCCCTCCTCTGGCTTCCATTTGGTTTTTGCAGGGCAGCAAAGGCCTGCCATCCGTTCAGACAGACACCCACACAGACGTGCCCCAGATGGCCAAAGTGGTGGGGTATTTGTATACTGTGTGAAGATGTACTGCTGTGATTGGTGTAATAAAAAGCTGAATGGCCAATAGCTAGACAGGAGATATAGGTGGGGCTTTTGGGCAGAGACAGAGAAACTGGGAGGAATCTAGGCACCTATTTCATAGCAGACTCAAGCAAGTTAGATATGCTGCAATAAGAGGAAGTAACCAAGCCACACAGCAGAACCTAGATTGAAAAATATGGGTTAATTAAGTTATAAGCGCTAGTTGGGAAAAAGCCTAAGCTATGCCCAAGCTTTCATAATTAATAATAAGTCTCCTGGTCATTATATGTGGGCTATTGGTCCAAGAAAAGCTTTCCACAAGTCACTCATACAGACGACGTGCCCCAGACATCACCCACTGAGGATGGGACCACTGATGCAACAGTTTTGAATTATTTATCAGTAATTATCTTCAGGATGTTCTTCTCTTAGTTTCCCCAATCCCTTCTAGCCCCCTAGAAGGAACACAAAATGGCACCACTTTAGACAAACCAACCTGACTGGATGAAGAGGGATGTACAGAAATAAGATGTTACCTGTGATGACCCAGTAGTCTCTGGTTGTTTCTGATATATCAAGGTTGGGATATTCCAGTGCTAAGACAAATAAAAAAAATATCAAATTCCTTTGATAGGTTTTATGAGTAAACATTATCAAAAGAAACACAGACGTGACAGGCTGGCAAGCAGCTAGGTCCCACACTGCCATTTCTGGGAAATCCAGTGCACATAGGTCAAACTATCTCATTGGATAGAAAGGTCACTGAGTAAAGGGACAGTTTCTACAAGGGGCTCAGATTCAGGAGTTCCTCTCTTTGATTCAGGAGTGTCTCTCTTTGAAGTTGTCCCTCCATGCCTTCTTAAACAGAACATCACTATCAATACCCACAATTGCAGCCTGTCTTAGCCAAGGCTTCCTCTCTAAGGATTATCTAGCACCATGGAGTTCTAAGGAACCGTTATCTCTTAAAGGGATCTGTCCAGCATTAAGGGCTTACATGTGGTACCCCAGTGCTGGGAGAAAGTTATCATTTTGCTTTAGCAGCATGGTGACTATGAGAATTCACACATGTAAAGGACTCAGAATAGTGCCTGACATATAGTCAGCGCTCAGTACATCCTACGTGTGTGTGTACATGTGTGTATAAGTGTACACTTGTATGTTTAAGCCAGAAGATGATGGCAAGTGTCTTTTTAAATTGCTTGTCACCTGATTTTCTGAGATGAGATCTCTCATTGAACCTTGTCGATTGACTATCCTGGCTGTCCAGTGAGCTTCCAGGTCTCCTCCTGGGCCAACCTGCCAGCACTAGCATTACAGTTGTGAGCACCTCACCGGAATTTTTAAAAAATGTGGATACTGAGATCAAACTCATATTGCACATCAAGCACTTTACCAACTGAGCTCTTTCCCAAGTCCCTTCTGATCAGTTCAACTCAACTGTGATTATTATCAGAAAACCAAGCTGGTTAAAGAACGTAACTCCTGTACCAGGCGCCCTATGACACCCTGCTGCCATCTTTCATGACATAATCTTTTTATGACGTTCAGAGTCATCCTTATTGCCTGAAAATTTATAAGATCTTTCCAGTAAACACATTCAAAAAACTTCCCAGTGGTTGTTAAGTGACAAGTACAGCTTACACACACACACACACACACACACACACACACACACACACACACAGACACAGAGAGAGAGAGAGAGAGAGAGAGGGAGGGAGGGAGAGAGAGAGAGGGAGAGAGCATTGTCATGCATGCATGCACTCACATATGGGATCTCATTTATTTATAGTATCAAAACCAACTACATAAAGAAATTACAAAACAGTTTTGCTAACAGGTATATTTTAAAAGGAAACCTTTGCCAGTGACCTCATGGAATATAATAATTAAATTTAGGGTACAGACTGTACCTAGTGACAAAATGTGGGCTGCTCAGTCTTCAAAGTCCACCTGACTGCACAATAATGAGGATTATGTAACAAGCATTACAGAGAGTCAAGGCCTCAGACTATAGGGACTCCAAGCGAAGTCACGACACAGATCACAAAGTTTGCATTACGCTGTCTGTCGCCAGCTGGACCTGAAGGCCTAGGAACATTTGTGCAGGGGAGAGAAGACCATGGCATCCTGGAGTGCCCCTTAGGACAGATGCCCTGGAAGGCAGTGCTCAGAGCACAGGTCCTCATGCAGCCCTGTTAGCTGTGGGAGAGTGGATATCATGTGAAAATTTGGCGGGGGGAGGACTTCAATTTTTTTTTCTAGTTTTGCACCCATCTCACTGGTTTATTGTAAGTGTCGAGCAAGGGCTTTCTTGCAGTGTGCAATGAACTTCTCGCCAATCTAAGCCCCATGTGTTGCACTTTTCAGTGCTCACGATAACACGCACAGTGTGTAGCTTAGCACAACAGATTTCTCTGCTGTGTGGAGAAAAGTCCCCAGGGGAAAGCACAGAGCCCTTCTCCGTGAGGCTGAGGTGCATGTACTCACGTTCAGCGATGGTGAGTGGAGGGTAAGTGAGGTAGAATCCCACCAGCTCTGCTGAGAGCTGGCTGAGGAGGCTGCTGGCCACGGTGCCGTTGAGGAACGAGCTCTGGTTGCCCACAGCATACACCAGTGTGACGGCCTGGGAGGCGTTGGACGTGCTCACAATCTAAATGACACAGGAGCAAAGGGGAAGGAGACATGCCAAGTAAGGCAAGGGTCGTGTCGGGAAGACCGAGGAAGGTACCTTTCAATAGAAGGGTGGGTTGTGATGGAAGGGTTGTGGGAAGATAGCAAGGAGGGAAAAGAATAGCGAGTCATTGTTTACAGACTGCAGGAGCATGCCTGCACTGTGGTGGGCACATCATCTCCATCTCCATCTAACCCTGGAAGTCTATTTAGGACTGCCGTTCACAAATGAGGAAACCACGGCCTAGAGCGACAGGGATTTGTCCAAAGTCATACAGCTCATTTGTGACGAGTCAGGATTTGAACCCAAGCAGTCTTGATTTATGGCTCTTAACCACTCGTGTGTCTTTTCTGGGGGCTAAATTGACTCAAGTGGCCTTTATAATTCTGGAAATATAAATATGAAGCACAGCCCGACTGTCAACCGTTCAGGGAACTTTCAGGTTGAGAGGAATGTGCACCCATTGTTATGAGCAGGGTGACTAAACATGAGCATAAATACAAAATAGACCCTTTATGGAGCAATTACTTCCTTTTGTGAACCATTAATTTGGTATGGGTTATGAGAAAAAAAACTTCTCTAGGATAACACCAGTTTCTTCTCATGCTCAGTCTTATTTCATTTTTAGTTGCTGGGGAAAAATGAGATTTTCTGGGTCAATGTACGGATAAAAATATCTCAAACATTTGAAAAACATGAGCAGAAGAAAAATCACTGGCTGGCTGGGATGCTTTTGTGGCTGATGTGATGTGTTTGCTCTTTCTCTCCAGATCTCCTCGCGCATCACAGAGGGCATCCTGCAGGCTACCCTCAAGGACTATACAATGGTTTCTTTGCCGACTGGCGTGAGCTAAAGGGGGATGAGTGAGCATGGGAGAGAGGAAGGAAGGGCAGGGCACTGATGCCATCACCCTCCCTGTGGGCATCAGGGCCCAGGTATAGGTATAGCCTGGGTACGGGGCTGTCCCTGCCCACACATTCAGTTGAGGTCCTTTCACGGAACTCTCAAGTTCCCTTTGAGGACTGTCTTACCCGCCTGGGGGCCACCTGGCTTGCTGGGACCTTTGCGCTCAGGCATCATCTCTGCAGCCTTGCTCTCTGTCTGACCCTGAAGAAAGATGCCCAGCACAGCTTCTCCACTTTGCTGACTGTTTCCCCGACATGTGGCAGCTGCCTTTCAGTTCTCCAACAGAGAGCCACAACCCCTTGTTAAGAATGACCCAGCCAACATTTTTGCTCGGCTCTTGTTTTCTTCCCAGATGTATTCAGACCTCTGTCCCAGGTGTGCAGAAAAAAAGCACTTTCCGATGATTTAAAAGAGTTCCTGGGAACTGGAGAGATGGCTCAGTGGCTACGAGGTCTCTTGCAGAGGACCTGAGTTTCATTCTCAGAACCTAGATCAGGTGGCTCACAACCACCTGCACCTCCAGCTCCAGGGAATCAGTATACAAGTACACACACACACACACACACACACACACACATCCACAAACACACACACACGCACACATACACACCATGTCACACAAATAATTAATAAAAATATTATTAATAATAGAACTATTTTATCTTTATCTCTATTGTGAATATTTACTAAATACCTTTCAATAAATAGCAGTAGGTTTCCCTAAACCTCCAAGAAGCCCATAAAGGTGTGTGTGTGTGTGTGTGTGTGTGTGTGTGTGTGTGTGTGTGTGTGTGTGTAGGCATGTATGAACACTGATAAAATTATGTATGTTCTGATGGGGAAACCCACAGAATCAGCTGACCAAAGCTAGTGAGAGATCACTGACTCAGGTCTGACAAATGGAGAATCTGTATAAGACAGAACTATTCTCCCTTAATATAGGTGACAATGGTGTGACTGGGACAATATATGAGGCCCCTGGCAGTGGGTTCAAGACCTAACACTAATGCACAAACTGACTTAGTGGAGCCCATTCTATATGGAGAAGATACCTTGCCCAGCCTAGATACAGGGCTGTGGGGGTGGAGAGATGCCTTGGTCCTGCCTCAATGAGATGATGGGACAGACTTAGTAGACTTCGTAAGGGAGGCCTTATCCTCTCTCTGAGGAGCAGATAGGAGGAGGTGGGGAGAGGGGGGAGTGGGAGGAGAGGAGGGAGGGAGAATTGGGATTAGAATGTAAAAAAAAAAATTGAAAAGATGAAGAACATAGTATAGACAAGAAAGCCTAATTACGAATAGCATTTGGGGTAACTTCAAGAATATAATAGGGCAATATAAATTTTTAAAGTAAAAAATTATGTATGTACATACATACATAGATTCTATAGTCAACCAGGTAAGTTATACCTTTTTGTTGTGGTAAATATGTAAATCACAGAATTTAACATTTTAACCATCTTTAAGCACAAATTCTCATTTTTTGCCAACCATCTTTAGAACTTCCTCACTGCCCCCCAAATATAGCTCTATACCCATTGAACAACTTAAAGTGAAATTGCTGATGATTCCACACCTCTAGGTACCTGGTAGAAGAGAAATCATGCTATAGTTTTCGTTTCATGACTGGTGTACTTAGCACAATGACCTCAGTGCCACCCATGCTGCAGTAGGCACCAGAGTAGCCTTCTTATTTAAGGGCTCAGTAACACTCCAGTATGTATAGACTACATTTGTTTTTCATGTGTCCATTTGAAAAGACACTTGGCTCACTTTCAGCTTTCAAATACCTATTTCTAGTTCCTGATTTTAATTCTTTTTGCTATGTAGAGGGACATGGAGTTATTAGATCACACTGACTGCTTGTTTAAGTTCTTGTGGTACTGTTTTCCACAGCGGCTGTCCATTGTACATCTCTCTAGAAGTATCCAAGGACTCTAACTTCTCCATATCCTCACCAACACTTACTATTTTCTAGGGTTCTGTTTTGTTTTTTGAGAATGGTTTTCCTGATAGATGTGAAATGGCGTCTCATTATTGTTAGGTCAAAGACACACACACACACACACACACACACACACACACACACACACACACACACATACACCGTCTCTATCTATCTCTGTCTGCCTTTCTCCTTGTGGTGACGTAGTTCAAACCCAGGACATAATGCATGCTAGATGAGTACAACAACACACTTCCCAGCAAGCTTTTGCCATTAATTTTCTTCTAATTGATGCATAGCAGGGATTCTTTCTAATTCTTTAAGTTCTGGATATTAATCACTTATCAGATAGATGATTCATTATTCTGTGGGTTATCTTTCACTCTGTCATTAGTGGCTTTGATGAGCAAAGTTCTTTTCTTCAAGGATGTCCACTTGGCTTATTACTCTTGGCTCTGTGGTTTTCCAACAGTATCTAAGACAACCAGGTCCACGAAATCTTTCCTCTATGCCCTGTGCCCTTTGGCTTTAGTTCGTACATGTAGGTCTTTGGAGCACTTCAAGAGATTTTGGTTGATAATGTTAGGTATAGCTCTAGTTTCCTTCTTTTGCAATGTGGAAACCCATTATTTAAAAGATCACCTTTTCCCTCACAGACCAACCTTGATAAAAAATAGTAGATTGTTTCTGGCCTCTCTATCTAGACCACTGAATGATCATAAAGTTAAGACCACACTGGTTTGGTTATCATAGTTTTTTTAAAATTAACTTTTGAAACAAAATGTGTGAAACTTACAAAATTTGTCCTTTGTCGAGATTGTTTTTGCTCTTCAAGGTATTTTGAGGCTCTACTTGAACTTCAGGATAGATTTCTGGTTTTAAAAACACCACTGGGATTGGTGTGTGTGTGTGTGTGTGTGTGTGTGTGTGTGTGTGTGTGCCCATGAAGGTGCCAGAAGAGTGTATTAGACTCCCTGGAGCTGGAGTTACAGGTGACTGTGAGCTGCCTGATGTGGATACTAGGAACTGAACTCAGTCTTCTGCAAGAGCAGAAAAACATTCTCAACTGCTGAGTCATCTCTTTAGCCCATGCTCCCTTCCCTCCCCTTCCCCACTTGCCCCCCCCCGTTTTTTGAGACAGTAGTATGTCTTCCCCGATTGGTCTTGAACTTGCTATGCAAGCTAGACTGCCTTGCATCTATAGCAATTTTCCTGCTTGCTTCTCCAGAATGGGATTCCTGTGAGGATCACATTCAATCTACAATCCCCAGTGATGGATACTGAGATCTTTATAGCTTAAGTTCTCCCAAGCTCTATGCCTTTGTATCGTCTTTGATGAACCTAATCACAAATGAGGCAAATCTGGAAGCACCAAAGACCACCCAGTAAAAGTAAGAAGTGTCCTGGGGCTAAAGCGACAGCACAGCAGTTAAGAGCACTCACCGTTCTTCAAGATGGCCTGCATTTATTTCCCAAGCACCCAAAAGGCATCTCATAGTCATCTGTAACTCAAGTTCTAGAAGACCAGACATCCTAGTCTGGCCTCCATGAGTACTCTATTCATGTGATACACAGACATACATACAGTAGGCAAAGCATATATAGTAAAATAAAAACAAATCTAAAAAGAACAAGGGGGAAGAGGAGGAGGAGTCTAGAAGAAAAGCAAGCCAAGGGATGAGCAGAGAACCTCCTGAAGAAAATGTTGATGCACCTGGATCCAGCTGTACCTCCAGCCAATAAGCTGTGAACATCTCAGTGGATTGAGTCTGTCTTGCCTCTTTCTGCTTATGACTCATAAGCTTGGATTTTGTTACAACTCCCATTGAGTCAACTGTAACCTAGCTCCTAACGCTATGTACTTTTTTTTAAGTCACTTTCCCAATAACTGATATTTACATCTTTTTTATTCCACAAAGAATTCAAAGTACCATACAAAATTATATTTAATGGAATGGTATAGAAAAATGTTATAAAACATCAGTTTGGAAGTCTGTATTATTATGATCCCAGACGAATTTATCTATGGATGATAAAAGGACCAGGAAAGTCGTGTTAAATCTAGTGACAAACCTGATTCTGATGCTTCATATTGGCCATTGGAAATGGGGTTAATAAAATGATTCATTCAGTTAATATCAAAGGCTTCCAACATGTCAGAGAACATCTCAAATCTAGTTAGATGCAATGGTCTAGTTAAATGCAATGCTGTAGTCTTTTAAGCTTTGTTGCTTATGTTTCACTTGATGATGCATGATCAAGGACAGGCTGAAGAACAAGGGCAACTGTTTATCTTGGTGTCTCACCTTGAAGCATCTAATAAGCAGCAGACACTCAAGAAATCTCTTACCGCCTATTTTGCTGCCAGAACCTCTTAGGTTCATACACCTGTTAAGACCATGGAGACAATCCAGAAGAAAAAGATTTCCCAACGGAGCTGAGTCACACTGTTTAAATAAATCTTAAATCTGTGACACATTTTAGATCTTAGAGTAATAAGAGCCAAGTTGTAATGAGATCCTCCCTGATCCACTTTGCCTGAGTCTACAAAAGGAAAGCTGCTCCTTCAAATTAGATCCAGTGCTTTCTACATCATACTGGCTTTGCTCATAACTCGCTTATGCTTATGCTAAATGTCAATTTTGAATGTCCCTGGTCTAATTGCAAAGGCTTTAGTTCAGTAGTCAAAACAGACACAGAACAGAGGCATTAATTAGAGACTTTGGGGCTAGGATGAATATCATTAAGAAGCATCTATCTTTTTTGAGATGTTATCTACATAATTGTGTGCATGCGTGCATGCATGTGCGCGCATGCGTGCACGCACATACACACACACACACACACACACACACACACACACACACACACACACACGCACACACACACGGGTCTGAAAAAGGCTTTTGGTGGTGTCTACACTGTTAGCCAGGAAGCCAAATACATGGTGACCAGGAACTGGATTTCCCTGGGAAAGATATACTTGCCAAGGGCTTGGGGATACCCTTTCTACACTGTATTGATGCTGGTGTAGCTTGGTGGGTAAGAAGACAGAGCTTGAGCTCACATCTTTACTCCATTCTTTTCCAGTCATGTGACCTTCTGGGAGTCTCATAATCCTCTCAGTTCTCACTTGAACAAAATGGAGATGATATTTCAGATGATATCTTGATCATTACAACAGAAAAAAATATTTGTAAAACACTAAGCGCAGTTGCTGGCAGAAAGTAAGCCCACACTGTAAAAGATGGGGGTATGTTTCTATGGGTGTTTTTGTTTGCATGTGACGATCATTTGTGTTGAAGCTTAGAAACAGCCCAACACAACAATTAACCACAGAAAATCACAACAGAGTTAGCGATTTAAAAATCAATTCACTGGCCCCTAGGTGGCTCAGGAGATAAAGGGGCCTGCCACCAAGCACTGTGACCTGTGTTTGATCCCTGGGACCCCACATGTTGGAAGGAAAGAACTCATTCTCACAAGCTACCCTCTGAACTCCACATTGCTCTGTAGTATGTGCCCTAAAAACACACACATGCACACACACTCATGTGTGTATACACACACACGCATACACACGCAACTAATGCAAAAAGTTAAATTGATATACAAAGTGTATTCAGGTTCAATTCTTTAATGATAAATTCACTAAAAGGCCAGAGGAGGCTGGAGAGATGACTCAGAGGTTAAGCGAACTGGCTGTTCTTCCAGAGGTCCTGAGTTCAATTCCCAGCAACCACATGGTGGCTCACAACCATCTATAAGAGATCTGGTGCCCCCATCTGTCATGCAGGCATACATGGAGGCAAAACATTGTGTATAACAAACAAACAAACAAATAAATAAATAAATAAATAAACAGATCTTTAAAGAAAGGAAGGAAGGCAAGGAAAAAAGGAAAAGGGGGGGAGGGAGGGAAGGAAGAGGAAGAGAGGGAGGGAGGGAGGAGGAAGGAGTAAGGAAGGGAAGAAAACAAAAGAAGACCAGAGGAAGCATTACATACAAAAACCAAATATTAATTCCTGGATTGTGATGGTTTATACTGACATAGAATCCTACCTGCCATAGCCAGACCTCAGCCACACTCATCAATACCATGACTGTCTATATCACCTGTCAAAAGTACAAACTTACATTTGCATATGACAGCTTTTAAACGGGGGTGGGGGAGGGACCAATATATGCATTGTGGCTGTCTGTCTACTATGTAGCCTGAAGCCCTTCCTCCTTACCTGAAGTGTCAGGTTGCTCCTGCTGTTAAGGACCTTCCTCTCTGCATCCTGGAATGCCTTCTGCAGCCTCTGCTCCATCGTCTGGGCAAACTTGCAGGACTGAATGTTGTCTGACTGGCTTACAAACTGCAACACTAGAAGGAGAGCCACAAGTCACCACTCACCAATGCTCAGTATTAGTTCCTCAGATTTAATAGCAGCTATGATACAAAACATCATGATTTATAGGTTACAGAACTTAGGCAAATAAACAATAAGACCAGACAAGCTTTAATTATAGTTTTGAAAGTGGATCTCAAAATAATTTATAGCAGAGAATAATTAAAAGCACGATTGAGCCCAAGGTTTTCTCCAACACAAAGTCCTGACTTTATCCCATGAGACTGCAGACATCTGCTCAAAGATGACAAACAGTGCCCTCTATCTCTGAGGATGGGGATGCTCAATTGTCCTCCACACTAAGCTGATGGTTCCCACCACAATGGTACCTTCACTCTGGTGGTTCACAGACTTTGCAAATAAGAAATCACAAGGGAAATCGAGAGAAAGCTGTCAAAGAATTTGCTGGGAGACTACTTAAATAACAGCCTGAACCTGTTAGTTCCAGACTATAGGCTTTATGGATGCTCAACTCAGAGTAGTAGCCACTGGTAAGAAAGGGGAAAAACCTATGCTGCAATGCAATAAGCATATGGATTGGGAAGAAAAGCCTTTATGGTGGAACATGTCTAAAAAGTCAGAATTAGAGACGTTTAGGAAGAAGACTTGGACATCTGGTGAGTAGGGAAGTTTGAAGGTATAAGGACTATGGAAGCCGGCAAGCAGCCAGTAGTGGGGCTTGTCTGGTCCTGGAATGATGGGACCTTTTCCTTCTGGTAACTTGCCTGTCTTCAGCTGGAAGGCACCTGCAGGCTGGGGCTTCCATGGGGAGGCAAGCACCGCCACTGACTGTAAGGCGGGAGTGTGTTGCTTCAGGTCGGCAGTGACGTTGCTGACTCCATACACATCCAGCATGTCCATCACCACAGCAGGCAAATACACCAGCCTCCCTTTGGTAGCATAATAGCCGACTGTGACATTATGAGAATATTCCAGGATGTCCACCTACAAAATAAAAGTACCCCCAGAATGCATTGTTTATTTCCACAGTACTTTAAGTTCCTCTTTGTGTTCTTAGAATCACAGCTGTTATTTAGTAAGGCTGCAGAATAGGATGCTCTTGTTGAACAAATATCCTAACAACCCTGAAAAGTACACGTGTGAATTACAAAGTATCCCAATACAGCAAAATAAAACCTACACAAAAACTATGTGAGTAAAAGCTGAATCTGGTTTCATATTCCTTAAGTATTTTGAGCATGATCCAATGAGCATTAATTATATCATCAGGAAGTCAGAGTGGAGATAGCAGGCCAAAAAGGTCTAAGGAACAGAATGCTGCTTAGAAGAAAAGTTACATCCCACCATTCCTGGGAGGCAAAAGGCAAAGACGATGAATGAAGTAGGGCACCTTCTGGGGATGGGTGACAAGGTATCTAAAGTGGAATTTTCTGCTTTGATGCATAAAAGGAGCCTTCAGCCTTGGCTCCATTCTTGGCCTAGACACTGGTTTAAGGCCAAGTAGGGATGAGTCAGAGGTCTTCTCTTCCAGGAGAGTCTTAAGGGACACTGATGACCTGAGTTCTCTCTGTCCCAGGAGAATGATTTTGTGGCTTCAGAACTTATTCTTACTTCATTTTGCTTTGTTGATATATGTTTATGTTTTTAAATGTGGGTTTGTGTTTTTTATATATTAAATGTGATGTTTATCATAAAATTGGAGTTTTTCCATAAAATTGGAAAATTAAGAGAAAAATAATTATTGTTTCAGGTATTACAATTACTACCCACTAGGTATATCTCCTTTCAATCATACTTACCTAGGAATACATATTTTTGTGTATATGTGTATATATGTGCATGTAAAGAAATATATATATATTCATATACATATATGTATACATGGTAGATACTGATGCATAATCTCTTTACTTCTCTATATGCCCGAGAGGGTATATGTTTGTGTCTATACATATGTGTGTGTTTGTCTACATGTGCACACATGTGTATATATTTGTGTGGGAGGGTGTTTGTATGTATTGTGTGTGTGTTAGCGTGTCTTGCTGGAGATGGAACCTAGGATTTCATGCACAGTAGACAGAAGCTCTACTACTGATCAGATAGATCCCTAGCCTCCTTCTTTTCATTGTGGTAAAATTCAGATCTTATGCAATCTACCAATACAATCTGCTTTATATGTACTGTTCACTGATACTTTTAATACACAGATAATGGCTACAACTGGCATCACTACCCATCTCCCATGCACTTCATGGGCTTCTATGTCAGGCTATTTTAACCTCTGCATACCTTCCCCATTCCTGCATCTGCATTAGTGTCCTATGTGGCTGGGGAGATAGGGCAGGGACAATCCATTAGCACAAGGCCCTAGGTCACAAATATTTTCCAAAAAAACACTCAAGAAAACTGATTTTTTTCAACACAATGGATGCAATTTTGTTCTTCCAATGTATGTTTTCAATTGGTTCTTTATAAAAGTAACTAACCAAGGAGCTTGAAGATGGCCCATGAACATAGCCCCAAAGAACAACTCACCCAGTGTGCAAGCTGTGAACTTTCTAGCCCTTCTAATTACTTTAAAGAGCAAGCCTTGATTCAGGGACTAATTGTTTTTCATACATTTATAATTTCTGTATGTCTTTAAAAACAAATAAACAAATGAACCAATACCTGAGCAAAGGGATGCCAGGCTCTGCCCCGCCCCAGCCTTGCGCAGGCAACACTGGCTACCTGGACTGAATGGGCTACTCCTGCCCACTATTCTCATTTTTGCCACTACATTTTATTCATGGAAAATGATCCTGATTTACATTCATTGTGCTAATACAACAATTTCAGAAGAAATGTGTTAAGTTTACAAACTGCACCAATTATTTTGAAAGAATTGCATCTGTTGTGGTGGTCTGCAATGATGTGCAGAAAAAGCAAAAGCTACAGAGGTCATTGGAAAATGACTGCAGTTCAGTGAAAACCACACCAAGCAAGGGAAGGAGAGAAGTTACATGTTCAACTTTTGGTTTTAAAATATTAAGGTTTCCAGTGCAGGGACCACCTAGTGTAGATTGCTTTTCCCTTCTTCTCTCCTTTCCTTCTTCCTTCTTTTTTTAGAATTGTAAAAGAGAGATTGACAATGACCAATGGAGGATGTGCCCAAATCTCATCCCTGGTCCTCTGTATGATGGAAGCGTGGGGTGGGGGTGAGGGGTACTAGGATGGATGCAGCTGTTACCCAGACCATCAAAAGAAGAATGATATGTTTAAGCAGTACAAAAGGGAGCCCACTGACTGCCAATTGCATTTACTGCTCTAACACTTGGGATCAACCCAAAAGACTGTAAAACAATGCCTCCACTACTTGGCTGTGCCATTGAAAGCAGCCAGCAGTTATTAAGCAGTGCTTGGCATTAAAGTGTTTGGAGGGGAAAATGTTTACTTCCCTGTCTGCTGCTGGCACACCCAGCAGAGAGGAACTCCTCCTACAGAGCTGAGTAATTGGGGCTTTTGTTGTTGTTAGTGGAAGTAGTGGTTTCAGTTTGGGTTTTTGAGATAGACTTACTCTGTAGCCCAGGGTAGCCTCAAACTTGGGCAAGCCAGCCTTTCATGTTCTGGGAGTATAAGCATGGAATATCTACCTGGCTTTATTATACCTGGTTAAATAAATCACTATTTATAATTGCCCAGAAGATAAAGAGAGAGAGAGAGAGAGAGAGAGAGAGAGAGAGAGAGAGAAGACAAAACAATGGATGGCTTCTAGAGGATACCAAATACTCTTCCAATGATGGGACAATTTTTAAAAATATGAAATGATCCTTTTCTCCAGCCACAAGATGCTAGTTATCTGCCAAAATGTCAAAAACTTCCATTTCTAGAAAGTGTGGGTGTGGCACCTAGGAAGAAGAAAAACATCTACTCCTACTCTGGACCCAAGAGGGTGTGGGCTGAATTGGCCATCTTAGAAAGTTAGGCGCTTACGTGAGCGGAGACATCATTGTGGCGGAAGGCCTTCCGCAATGCCTGTGTAAGCCCTTTGGTTACACCAAGCTTCAAGGACTCGCTGTTTTGCACTCTCCTCTGGGTCAGGAAGAGAACTGTGGGGTGAAACAAAAGCAAGCGTCAAGAATGAACCTCATGATGAACAAGTACCACCCCCAGCCTCTATGGCCATCAAACCTAGAACAGTTGAATAAGCAAAGGCCCACCAATTAGGGACAGGCTGGGGGGTGACTGTTAATCTGATGAAGGCCCAAGCCATTTATGGGGTCTTAATGCCAAAGAGCTGGTATGCTGATGCTACTTTATTTCCAACTCTTGCTGTCTCTGACTATGAGGACCACCTGGCCCCCAGTGGGTCAACATGCAGCCATATTTCTGTAACAGCATCCACTGACATACTTAGAGACTGGCCCTGAGCTGGGTTCTATAGCTCTAATCAACCCTAAATCCAGAAGGGACCAGTCCACCTCATAGCTGGGGATGCAAATGGCATCAGTGGCTGGATTTAACGGTCACCATTAGAAGGAACTCAAGAGTTCTGCCAAAGCTTCTGAAGGAGGCTGGATCAGGGGGAGGTTTCCATGGGAATTGATGCTTCTGATGAGTACTGAAGGGTAACAGTGATCAGCTGGCAGGAGGAAGGAGTTGTCACACCCCCCACCCCACCCCCACCCCACCCCCTGACTCCCAGAGCCAGGGGCACCAAGGGAAAAGGCATCGGGAGAGGAAGGTGAATCTTGTCGGTACACATGTTTAGCTTGGTTCTAAGGAAGAGAGGAAATAGGGGTTTAAAATGAAGTAATGAATTATAGAAGATTCCTTTGACTACATGCTGGTAAATAGATTGAAGAAGACAGAGGTCTGAAGAGGGAGAGAGATGTGTAGAGAGAGGGTTGCAGGCGCGAGGGAAGTGGCAGTAGGGGGCAGGATGGAGAGAAGGGGTATTCAGGAGTGACGACAGAAAGCACTGGTGGCTGGTCAGCTGTGGCTAGTGGCAGAGAGTGAAGAAGACAGCAGCTGAGAGGGTGTCTGCATGGAGGTGGGAATGCTGGGAGAAGGCATGGATCTGGAGAGGGGAGGGGGTTAAAACCCAGATGGCATAATAGAGAAACTGAAAGAGATACTGTATTTTCCGCTATGCCTAATTTCACAATTTCCCAGTTTAGAATAAGATATAATTTCCTTTCATTCTTTGTGGGCTGAGGAGGAAGGCGGGAATGAGCATTCAACACTGGCATGCTCTTTCAAATAATTTGTCTAATGCTTTTTATAGAGAACACTATTCTACTATTCAAAACACTCTAAGCATTCTAGACTCACTTTCTGCAGCCACGGAGTAGGGCAGAGAAGAGATCAGCCCCACTGACATCAAAAGAAACCCCATTCCCCCACTGTGTGATTCAACTGTCCGGTTGGTGCCTGCTGAGTAGGAAAACTTCTCAGTGGTGCAGTGAATCCCAAGAGTTTGTGTTAAATGAATCACATTGTCTCTTCATGTGAGGCATCACTGGAGTACTTCACAGACAAAACGTGCTGTGTTCAGGAATTGCCTGACCTGGAGTAAGTGTGGTTTCCCTGGGTGCTTCTGATGTTGGAACCAATCCTAAGACTAGAATCTGTGCCATCTACTGTTCCTCTTTTCTGACACATGATGAGGGTCAAGGGTTCTTAACCTTGGCAAACTGATCAGTTTGTCTCTTTCTCCCCACTTCTATCCCCCCTCTCTGTGTGTGCACTTGGGTGTGTGTCTATGTGTGTCCTTGTATGTGGAGGTCAGAAGACAACCCCAGGATATTCCTCAGTTACTACCCATCTTGTTTTTTGAGACAGGTTTCTCACTGCAGCTCATCGAGTAGGCTAGACTGACTGGTGAGTGAGCTCCAGGGATCTGTCTGTTTCTGCTTTTCTGCAGCTCTGGGGTTATAAGCTACCACACCCAGCTTTCTTAAAACATGGGTTCTAGGAGGTCAGGTCCTCATGTGAAGCACTGTACCAACCGAGTGTTGTCTCCAGCAAACTGTTAGTCCTTATTGTGCAGACTAAGCATCATGAAATGTTAAACATAATACCAGGTGCCTACATATTCTAAGTAACACTCCCTTCCCAATGTATAACAACCAGAATGTCTCCAGACATGGCCAAATGCGAGCATTCCTTACTGACACGCACTGACCTAAGAGAATTCATTCGATCCAATCACCGAGGTCAAGATTGCCCTCTGCCCTCAGACCAGTGAGACGATGTCCTCTCACCTGTCTTTACTAGGAGCCTGTGGGACATCTGACAGTCCAAGTTGGATGCCATCCTGCCAGTTGTGACCACTGCGGTAGATACAGCCGGAAAAGCAGCATCTGTCTGCAAAGATGGCAGTCTCGTGGCCTTCACTGATGCTGTAATGGATGTCAACGCAGCTGTGATTGTGAGAGGGCGGGTCGTGGAGGCTCTGGCTGTGTCTGGCCTGGCAGAATTGGGGAGGCCAGTGTGCATGGCTTGTGGTTTCTTGGGGAGGTGTGTTGTGGACAGCAGGCCTGAAGCAGAGCCCGTGGCCCCTTGTGTGGCTGTATGTGTGCTCATGCCGTATGCCGTCCGGGCGAGCATGTAGGTTGGTGTGAATGGGAATGCAGTGTGGACTGTCCCTGCTGTCACCTTTGGGCTTGATGCTGCCTTGTTGGTGACATTTTTAGCTAGCGCCGTGGTCAGACTGCTCTTGGCGAAACTGCCGCCGCCGCCAGCGCCCTTTGCAGTGAGGGCTGCCGACAACGCTGCTGGGGTTGACTTCCTCAGAAACAACGTGGTGGTGTCAGCAGCTGCAGCTGTTGCTGTCAGTTCTCCCTTGGGTGACACTGAGCTTTCCACTGCAAAGAGAGAAAAGGAAAAGTTTGTCATTAGCCTGGTCTGCACACATCCCTGTCCTGATGGTGAAGGAATGCCACTTGTGAGCTAGCTAGTGTAAGAAGTCTCTACACTCCAGGCTTGCAGTGGAGAGAACTCAGGGGAGACAACCTTAGGTTCATTAAGTCAACCAGCCATAATGAGGACGCCACTTACAGCAAAGCCGTGGTTGATAGCAGGGACATACATTTTGAATACTTTAAAAAAAAATTCAAGTAGGCAGGGAGGATCAGCGGCATGCCCGTCTGCAGCTGTACCTCACTACTGACCGAGGGGAGGCAGGCTGCTTCAAAGCAAAGCTGGCCATCTGTGTTGCGCTTGAAGATGTTTTGGCCGAAAAAGCAGTCATACCTGTTTTCTGGGTACCAGGAAACAAACTACCTGCATTAGTAGCTGCACCTGTCCATTTCTTGGGGCGCCGAGAAGTTCGCAGCACTTTTGAGGGGGTCCTGAGAAAGGCACCAGTTGATATAGAGGTTGAATCTGTAGTTGAATGATATTGCAGGACACTCTGGAATTGTGGGAAGCCATTTTTCCCCGGTGATAGATAGATGTCACTGGAAATCTGTGAATCTGTGTCTGTTCCATCTGAAAGCATTTGCTGCAAGCTAGCTGCAGAGGCTAAACTTGGCCATGTTGGCCAAAGAGGATGGGCTGGCCGGAGAGGCAGCTGTGACACAGGATGTTGACTTGTAGGTGGGTAATAATCAACAATTGCGGTCTCAAAGTCTCTTGGATGCTTGTTTGTGTGCCACAGGTCGGTGTGGCTTTCAGCTATGGCCCCTTCAGATGGTTGGAGGGGCTGACTGCCACTTTGGCTGAAGACTAGATCCTGAAAGTTAAAGCTGTCTATAGTCACCGACTGCCCGGCAGTCTCTTTGAAATTCTGAGACTGCATCGCATTGACAGCTGCAGTTGTACCGCTGGGAGGAGTCGCTGAAGCTGGATGAGGTTCCCAACTTATAGAGTTAATTGTATGCGTGTTTAAATCATGATCTGTTTGCCATGGCAAGCCAGATATTGTCGATTGTGTGGAGAAGGATGCATTTTCTGCTGAAAGAGAGCTCCAGAAAGCATCTGTGGCTGCTGGCTTTCTCATGCCTCCCATTGTGGGGAAATCATAGACAGTGGCGGAGGAGGGAAGCGCTGTCACCTGTTTGGAAGCTGAAGCTGGCATCACAGACAGGCTTGTGACAGCTGTGAGAGTCTCCAGCCTGGCTCTGGAAGAGGCAGGAGGACCTGCCTGAGGGGCTTGTGTGGCGAGCATGGATAATGGAGGTGGCTCTGATGGAGAGAGGACTGTTCTTAGAGCTGTCTTGTTTAGAGGTGAAATATGACCTGTGTTAAAATCAGAGGTGAATCCACTCACTGCCTGAAGACTTGAAGCCTCTTTAGTCGGAAGGGCCCACAGAGGAACTGTCCCTTTTGCCTTTTCATTTTTCCTGAAAATGGCTGTCACCCTGTCCTCTTTTTGCTGAGGAAATGTCCAAATTGTAGGAGGAAGATTAGGACGGTTGCTTGAGAGGAGCTGCATGGCTGCATCAGGAAGGTATTCATCGTGGCCATCTTCACGGGGAGCGAATGCCTCTGGCACAGAGGCTGGGGAGGCATGATCTCTAGTGGGCTGGAGGGTGATAAGCAGAGAGGGAGGGGCTCCTGTCCCCTTCAGTGGTGACCCAGGAGCTGCCTCAGAAGGGACCATTTGCTCCTGACTAGGTGTAGTTGGAGGCAAAGAAGGCAGCAAAGAGGAAGGGCTGTGTTTTGGGGAGAGGGTGGGCTTCCTGAAATGCTTCGGAGCTTCTGACAAATGTGACCAGTTGGTGGGGCTATTTGCTGGAGAAACAGGGGCTAGCTTTCTGCTGCTTATCACTGACTCTGCAGTCTGGAAATGTAGAGGCCAAGCCTCATAGCTTGCTGCCACTGTGCTCAGACTAATTGGCAATGGTACCCCACTGCTCCCTCTGACAGCCCCCACTGTGTGGACCAGCTGGGTGGATGCAGGTCTCGAAGTCTCTTCCAACATGGACCATGAGGAGGTTCCACCTGGAAGGCCTCCAGGGGTTAGGGAAGGGGGAGGCAGGTGGTCCAGTTCTGCCATGGAGCTCAGAGCCCCAGGAGTGGGAGGACCTGCTGAGCGGGGACTCTCTAATAGGGACGGCTCAGAGTACTGCCTTGTTGAGGATCTAAGAAAGTCTAAAGGAGGGGTACCTATGGAAGTCCGGGCATTTCTGGATGGAGAGTGGTTTGTTTTGAGAGAAAATGGGTTTAGGAAATTAACTGGGCTCTGGCCTGAAGAGGAGTCAGCTGGTGTGATCTGGGGAAACAAAGGCACTTTGGTAGGATGCTCTATAGGCGCAGGAGGGGTGATGGAATGAGGTGAATCAGGGGCCAATGAAGATGATGGTGGTGGAGGGGGAAGTGGAGGGCTGTCTGACATCAAGAGATGCTTTGAAAGGGAGGGAATCCCCACCACAGGCTGTGATGGGGAAGCGGTACTCAAGGTGGCTGATGGAGCTGTAGGCAATGAGGGAAACATGCTGGTACGAGGCAAACCTGACATGGCCGCTGCTTCTCTTCCCCCTCCAGGCCTTGTGTGGACCACAGTCTCAGTAGAGTCCTTGGCAAGATCTAGGGAGGCGCTGTTTCCACTTCCTTGGTAAAGGGACGAAGAGAAGTCCACACGAGCCCTGGTTCTGCGGTGGGCCTTGCGCAGAGGTGTCTGGGATAGCTGCGAGGAGCTTGTGTTGTCAGGAGGCTGTCCCAGAACATGCTTGGTTCCGTCTACTGCTGAGGAAGACTTGACTTCCAAGAAAGGCCATGTTGGTGAAATTGGTAACAATTTCCCGAGAGGAAAGGACTCTGGGGTCGGAGTGATGTGTGTCTGTAGATTATCTGTTCCTGTGAAAGAACGTATCCTCGTGAGACATGGGATAGGGATGTGGCATGGGATCGAGAGACTGCTACAGAGGGCAGATGCTGGAGACAAGGAGCAGCCAAAACAGACCCTGTCTGGCCACAGAGCCCTTCTACTCATCATAGCACCTTTGTGAAACAATTCAAACAAGGAAATTAATAAATACAAGTGTGTGATGCAGAGAGCCCACAGGGCAGTGCTCTGAAAATTAGTCTCGGATGAAGACATTGTTTTTTGAGACAGGGTCTCACTATATAACTCAAAGAGATTTGTCTGTTTCTGTCTCCCGGTGCTGTGATTAAAGGCATGTACCAACCACGCCTGGCTGATGAAGGGGCTTTTGAACAACATTATAGAAGACACTCATGTATTTCATTTTTCCCTATTCCTTACCAGGCTTAAAGCACACAAAAATAAGACAGGTGTGGCTACCTGCAGCTAGCAAATGACACCGAGATAGATCTGAGCCAAGGACTCAAACTGCACAGTCTCCCTGAACATGTTCTTCAGTCCCCAATGCACCTCAAGAAAAAATACATTCAAGGCAATATCTCCAGGAAAAATGGCTTCAATGAGACGTATTTCTCTTCGATTTAAAAGGATTCCTGGTTCTTTGTTCATGATGTGTCAAGGACCAGAAGCAATTTCTTTCATATTAGATTATTTCAAAAGGAAAAATTATTTGTATCCTACTTAGGACAGGAGACACTTCCCAAAAGGCCTTGGTGCCACTGGCAGCCCTTGCTGAGACCAGAACTGTCAGCACAGTGTGTGACACCCCAGTAGAAAGGTGAGGAGACATTGGCACGCAGCAGGAAAGGAAGGTGGGAAGATGGAAATGTGGGGTGGCACATATCCTGCTCTATGATGCCCCCTTCCTGGCTCCTCTGGGTTGATGATACAAAAGGTAGCTAATATTTCTCTCCTTTCTCTTCTCACTACCCCCTTGTGTGTGCATTTGTGAGTGTGAGTGTGTGTGCATGAGTGTGCAGTGCACGTGTGCATTTGCAAGTACGTTTGCATTGTTTGTGTCTACACTGATGTGTGTGAGGGTATCTGTGAATGTGGAGGTCAGACATCACCCTTCCATGCCATTTGTTTCTCAAGAGCTGTCCACAGTCCTTTGAGATGAGATCTATCACCGGGGCCTGGAACTTGCCAACTAGGCTAGCCAGAGAGCCCCAGAGACCCATCCTCCTGCCTCCACTCTTCCTTGTTGGGATTATGATCATGCACCAGCTGGCGTAGCTTTTTACTGTCCTCTGGAGATCAAACTCAGTTCCTCATGCTTCAGGGGCAAGAACTTTACCAACTGAGCCATCTTAAAGCCCTAAGGCTTTAAGAGTTTTAAACGAAAGGAATGGTACTTGTAGAGCTTTTTGCACTCTTAGCCAAAACATTGGCACCGTTTGATAGAAACCACTTATTAGGAATTCAGAGTCTGGTTGATAGATACCCTCAGCCTCCATTGCATATATAAGGACAAGAGGCACAGTGGAACTATCCCACACAGCTACTATGAGGAGCAAATGAACTCATGGAGGCGGAGGGGCAGGCTCTCTGTGCAGAAAATCCCTAAACAAATAAGCTCTGCTTACAGCCTGGGCCTGTCCATTTAATGCAAGAGGAGCCGTGACCCACAGAGAGAACATCCTCAGCTGGAGGAGCACAGAAGCAGGTAGGGGTATACAGACTCCTCCCTCCCAGGGCTAGGCTTCATCTCCAGGTTGCCTTTCTCCTGCACTGCGTTCTGCCAACCAAAGAAGGGATCAACTGGAGAAAGTCCTACAACATGAAAGCTTTGCAAATAAGCAACATCCTCTCCATGACAAAAGCTAAGTTGTAATTAATTGTCTTCTGAAAGTTTCCTCTGTGAGACTTGGAAAAGTAAGGGTAGATGGAATTTTTCTACTCTAAGAACATATGGACATTTTCCTTTTGATCCTCTGTGTTATTGTGGTTTCTTTTTAAATAAAAATCTTTAATTATTTTATTTTATTTATATATATGGGTATTTTACCTGCTTGTATCCATGCATACCATATGCCTATCTGGAACCCACAGAAGAAGGTGTCAAATCCCCTGGAACAGGAGTTACAGATGGTTGTGAACCACCATGTGGGTACTAGGAATTGAACCTGGGTCCACTGAAAGAGTGCTCTTAACCTCTGAGCCATTTTCTCAGCCCTGTATTCTTATTTTTAAAAATTTCCCATTGTTGGGATTCAGATGTAAGAAATTGGCCTCAGGTCACTATTAGGATTTGTCAGGGTAGAAGCCCATATTGCCACCATCCTCAATGGGACGCTGCTATATTCTGTAAGGAGACCAGTGTCTTCTGATGAAGCCATCCTAAGCCATAACCATGTCATGATTCTGTGGGTCCTACCTGCAGGACCCAAAGCTCCCTGAAGCTCAACCAGGTAAACCCACCTTCAACAGACAACAGCGGCAGGAGGGACATGGCTCCGGACACTAACATCCACACAGCACTGTATTCAAGTCCCTGTGCTTCTTGGGGCCTCCTTCATGGTTTACAGTGAGAACTGTGCTTCAGGGTTACCGCGTGTGACCTGAGGAGGTGTTCTCCCAGCTAGCTGAAGTCTCACAAGGAAGGCACACACTACAGCTTGCATGGCTTCCCACTCTTCATTCATGCTATCTCCTACCCAGTCAGTGGTATATTTGCATCCAACTGTGTCTGGCGACACATGTGAGTGGATACAATGTCTGTCTAGATGGTTTTGCAGTTTGCTAGTTTGCAGTTTAGTTTAGAATCCTCTTTTTAAATATAAGTATTAGGATGTCAGGGGAAATCTATGTAAGATCCCTGTGTACTTTTATTGGAACAGATTCAACCACTGGTCTGGTTCCAGAGTCAAAACAAACTCATCTTGCTTCAAAGACACAGCCTTGGAACTAAGAAGGATGCTTAAGCCAAGCAGCTTCTGATTCTAGAAAGATGTTCTATCACAAACATGTTGCACATGGAGGTGGGGCAGAAATGGGTTGCTAGGAGGCCGGCAAGGGTCACCAGCCACAACCAAAGGAGGCTGATGGGAAACCCCAGGCTAGAGTGAGAATGATGGCCTATGGTGGATTTATTTCTTCTTACTAGAACCCAGGGTTTCCCAAGGGACCCTTTACTCTCCCACACAATTCCCAATGCATGGGGAAGGAACTATCTATGAACAGTTTTGAAATGTGCCATCTGCTGTGCTCTGGTGTGATACACTCTTAATGCCATGTCTCTATCTTCTGACATAGTAGAAGCTTCATGAATGAACTTCTTAAAATACCACACTGATTGGCTGGCACCATGTGACTGGCTCCTGCTAATGAGTTATAAATGAAAATGACAAGTGTGGCTTCTGGGTAAGACATTTAAATGCTAAGGAAGACATTCCAGAGATCACTTTCTGGGCTGTAAGATGTCTCAGCAGATGCAGGCATGTGACACCAAGCCCGACAACTTGAGTCCAACAATGTATGTGCATGCATACCGGTTTGAGTGTGTGCTCTCACATGACAGGCATCTAGAGGTCAAATGACAACTTTGGCGAGCCATTTCTGTCCTACTATACGGGCCCTGGGGATCAAACCTGAGTCATCAGGGTTGTTGGCAATCCCTTCTATCCCCTGAGCCACCTTGCTATGTGTTTTAGTTCAACTTTATTTTTTAATATTCAACCCTTGGAATATATGTGGGATATTTCTCAAGCACAGTTGACTTGAGAATACAGCAACTTAAACAACTACCAATGACATACATAAAGCTGAGGAAGAAGTCATATTCACTGATTAGCAAGTGATACACATTCAGAAGATAACTGGTATAAAGAACGGCAGACAATAGTGTTTTAAAGACATGTCAACTAACTGAAACTACTGGTAAGCAAAGACACAGACTAGGAGGAAATATACAGACTCGTCTGTGTTCAAAATTCCCTTATGCAGAAATAGAGTCAGAAGCTCTCTAAAAATACTTACTTTCTCTGCAGGAGAAACTAAATTCACCATGAGCTTGAAGAAATTCAAGCTATTAAGACAAATCTTAGCCTGCCGTTCTTAAATCAGGAAATATATCATACATTGAAATCCATGCCTCATTGTAAACTATAGGTCACAAGTAATGAAACAGACATTCAATTGCCTGCTACACAGCAGAAGGACAGAGCCCACACTTCTGGAGCCCTCTCACCATTCTCTTGCTGCTACCCATACTCCTCCTTGGTGATGACCGGCATCATGAGTGAGGAGGCTGGAGTGATGGCTCCTTGATTAAGAGTGCTTGGTGCTCTTGCAGAGAATCTGAGTTCAGTTTCCAGCATCTGCACTGGGTGGCCCACAGCAACCAATAACCCCAGTTCCAAAAGATTCTATGTTCTCTTCTGACCTTCTGTGTGTGGTGATATCATGCTTGTACAAATAAAGCCTGTCATGGGGGGCGGTGTCAGAGAATGGAGCTTGCCAGTAGCTAACCAGAGTGGTCTGGAGATCTGTACAGACAGCTGTCAGGCAGCAACACGATATAAGCAGGAAGAAACAGGAAATCGTTCTCTTTTCTGCTGAGATGCAAAGGAGGTAAGGTGTGCTGTGGCTTGCTCCTTCTCTCTGACCTCTCAGCATTTCCCTCTATATCTGACTCCAGCTTTTTATTATTTAGACCAATTAAGAACTCCATTTACATCTGTGGACACCCGCATAGATATGTGTGTGTGAGTGCATGTGCGCTTGTATGTGTGTGATACAAAAATATTTATTCACTCTTGGGAATACAGACTGCTGAGGCCACCATATAAATCAGTATTGACATTTATAAAAAAAACAGAAAATAGAACTACCATAGGCCCCACGTCCCCCACTCCTGGGCATACAACCAAAGGACCTCTATATCCCACCGCTGCCATATGTGCCCATCCATGTCTAATGCTGCTCTATTCACACAGCAAGGAAATCAAATCAGCTCAGATGTCCACCAACAGACAACTGGATAATGATTATTCAACTGCAAAGAAAAACGAAATGTACAGAAAACACATGGAACTGGAAAATCTTATGGTAAGAGAGGTAACCCAGGCAACAGGTAACCAGGCAACGCAAATACCACATGCCCTCTCCTATACGTAGATCCTAGCTTCTAATTTGTTTAGGTCTATATGTATATGGGACTGGGGTGGGCAGACAGAGGTCATGGAACTAGAAGGGGGCCGTGGTGGGGGAGGGGCTTAAAACTAGGGAGGTGACATGGGGGTAGAAAGGACACACATATGCATTTAAGGGCCCAAGGGGAACCTATTATTTCATATAGTGATTTAAAAATATAATACTAAATTAAAATTCTAAAACCGAGTTAGGATCAAATCCACTGTCCTCTCTACTGCTCAAGATGACCTCTGAGTGTCACATTAGGAAACTGACATGGGGAGGGCAGTGAGATGGCACAGTTTTGGGTACAATTCTATTGCTGTGAGATGAGACACCATGACCAAGGTGACTTACAGAAGAAGAAATTGTTTGGGGCTTAACAGTTTTGAAGGGCTAATCAGGGTGTGTGAGCATCATGGCAGAGACCGTGGCAGCAGGCAGACAGGCATGTCGCTGGAGCTGAGAACTTATGTCTTACTCCACAAGCACAGGATGGAAAAAGCTAATTGGTAAAGGTGGGTCTGTAAGCCTCCAAGTCTGCCCCCCAGTGGCATACCTCCACCAAGAAGGCCATATCTCTTAATCCTTCCCAAAGAGTTACACCAACTAGGGCCCAAGTACTCAAATGTATGTGCCTCTGGGGGCCACTCTCATTCCAACCACCACAATGGCTCAGTGAGTTAAGGCACTTGCTACTAAGCTTGATAACTTGATTCCTGGAACCCATGTGGTAGAAGTAGAGCACCAACTCCCCACACTCTGCCTGCCACACACATGCCATGCCATGTATGAATCCCTTGCCACACACACACATGTGCGTGCATGTGCGCATGCACACACACACACACACACACACACACACACACTAAACAAAAGGTAACAGATACAGACTATAGAAGTCGGGGCTAGAATGGTGGTTCCAAGAACCACACTGACTAGAGATAATGTTAGCATGTTGTACATTTCACAAAGCTAGAAGAATGAACTTTGTGTTTCACCATAAAGAAATGATAAATATTTAGGAGATGCCTTCAACCTATTTTTAAAATTATGCAATGTATCTATGCATCAAAACATAATGTGACATCCAATTAACATGCACAACCTTGATGTTTTCATATATTAGTTAAATTTAAAAGATTTATTATGTTATCTTACATGTATATGGGTGTTTTGCCTGGATGTAACTATGTGTACCATGTGCAAGCAGTGCCCTCAGAAGCCAGAAGAGGGCAATAGAAGCTCTGGAATTGGAATTACAGGTTTCTGTGAGCTGCCATGTGGGTGCTCAGAACCCAACTCAGTTCCTCTGCAAGAGCAGCAAGTGTTTTAACAGCTGAGCTACCTCTTCAGTCCCCTAAATTCACATTTAAATAGAAGATACATTCTATAGCACATGAGTGTTCTATAGCACAATCTCCTGGTTGAGATCTTACTTTGTAAACAGGGTTTCTCGTCTGCCTACACTGAGATCCTAGACAACACTGAAAGCTTTATGAGTGTCAAAGCATAGCACCCGGAAGAATTAGTGTTGCTTAAAAAGCTGCAGACTGTACTTGTCTCTGAGAATGAAGATACAATCCTGAGTAAAATACCAAACTCACCATGACTGGAGCCTTCAAGGGGGAGAACGCTTCTCTTAAACATTCACTTGTGTGTGTGTGTGTGTGTGTGTGTGTGTGTGTGTGTGTGTGAGAGAGAGAGAGAGAGAGAGAGAGAGAGAGAGAGTGTGTGTGTGTGTGTGTGAGACAGAGAGAGAGAGAGACTGACAGATAGACACAGAGAGAGAGAGACAGAGACAGACTGACAGACACACACACACACAGAGAAAGAGAGACAGACAGACAGACACAGGGGTCAGAAGACAACTTGTAAGAATCAGTTCTTTCTTTCTGCCATGAGGATTCTGGGGATCAAACTCAGGTCATCAGCCTCCGCAGTAAGTGCCTTTACCCATAAGCCATCTGACCAGCCATGAGAAAACTTTTAAAGATGTGTTATTTAACAATAGAACCAGGAGCTAGATACTACGATAAAAGAGAAATTTATGTAATTAATAAAACCATGGAAAGCATAATGCACTGGTTTAAGTCAATAAGCTCATCACTACTACGGTACATGAAGGTGCATCTTTCAGATCAATTCATCACTACTCCCTGTCCTCCACTTCTCCCTTCCTTCCTTTCTTCTCCTTTATGTCGCCCTGCAAATTTCTGCTATATGCTATACTCTGTAGTAAACAATGCCTGGTAGGAAAAAATATATGATCTCTGGCTTCACAGAATTTACTGATCTTTAGGAGGCAAAGATGTAAAA